TTGAAATAGAAAACTCATATCCAACAAACTTGGGGATGGGAGAGCAGGAGACAACACTTACCTGCTGGAAATTTCAAAATCAAATGCTTTTGAAAACTTACTTTCATATTTATCCTTTCCCATGTAAATAGTGTAAGCAGATGAATTAGCTGTGAGAAAACAAAAAGAAAAAACAATTAGGTAGACTTCATCACTAACAAAACTGTTTCATCGGAAAAACTAGTGACAATGCTTAGATCAGGGGTCGGCAAACCATGGCCTGCAGTTCAAATCCAGCCCACCACCTGTTTTTGGATAGCCCTTAAGCCCAGAATGGTTTTTACATTTGTAAAGGATTAAAAACAAAAACAAAGAAGAATAAGCTAGAGAGACTGCATGTGTCTCACAAAGCCTAAAATACTATCTGGCCCTAACAGCAAAAATTTACCAATCTTTATAAATGGTACTTTCCTACCTTCTCAAAGATATAGTTCAATGGCAATCTCTAGTTCAGTCCTATACTTTTGCATTCTTCAGGAGTTAAAATAAAAACAAAAAACTTTACTATATCTCAACCATTTATTTAGAAACAGGTTCCTGTGTTTACCCAAGTTTTAGTTTGCCTAATTTTATTTAGCCAATATTATATTCCAGGTGTGCTGCAGATTCTAAGGGGCTCCCTATCCCATTCAGTGGAAGTGTGGCTCTCAAACTTCTGAATCAGTGACTCTGAACCTGGCTTATACATTAGAATCCTCGAACTATGCCCCAGCTCCACCTCCAATCAACTAAATCCAAACCTCTGGTGAAGCAAGAGTGAGCCCTGGTGTTTTCAAAAGCCTTCCAAGTGATTTTAATATGAAGTCAGGGTTAGGAACTATCACAAATCAAAAGGAATCTTCTGGGGGTGGCTTATCATAGGAACAAGAGATCTGCTTTACTGAGGTAGTGTTTTCACATGGGCATCCGTGATCTGTAATTAAAAAGTTTCCTACTGAAATTATAACTCAGTACTGGGTTTCCAAGCCAGTCTACCAAAACTTGTTTGACCCCAGTTGGATCTAAACTCTTGAATTAATAGTCGCTGGGTCTCAGGCTACAAAGCCTGAGTAGACAGTAAGTACTTAAACATAAATAAATACTGATGCATAAATACTGATAAGTGCAGGGTTGGGCTGGACAGCGTTGGCTGTTGCCCCAGAGCACAGAACACACACGTAAGTGGACCTCTGAAGGCCAGGGAGCAGCACTCTCATAAATAAATCCCTACACTGGGGATTTCCTGTACTTGCAGTAATAGATGCTTCTTAAATTATCGATCCTAGTTGCCTTTCTTGGGGGAGAAAAAACTTCTAATTCCTTCTGCTGGCAGTTATAATGACTACAGTCCACAATTACTTGCAGGTGGTTGAGAGAAATAAACTTGAAAGTAGAGAATGCTCGCACTGGTTAGTTTACAGAAAAGCTCGTCTATAACTGAGCATTACATTAGCTTGATCAGGCCTTAGCATAGCATGTAACAAATGCCAAAAGGGTGGGAATCAAATTAAAGTGTTTCAGATTTTCTTTGCATGGCCTGGCAGTATTTCAAGGGTACACCCTTTTAATCCTTTGATGTCACCACAGGGAGTACATTCTACCAAAATATTCCACCAAGCAAAGATCTTTTTACAAACTAAACACCGATTAACAGTCTGGTTAAACATATCATAGAACATCCATAAACAAAATACTATGTACCCATTAAAAAGAAAGGATAGGTAAAGAAATTAAGTAGCAGAACAGTATTTTTGGGTAGCTATACACGGAAAGATTCAATTTATGAAAAATAAATGACTTGTATTAATGTTATAATGGTATATACATAAACATGTTTATATATATTTTATATGCACACATGTTATATGTATGGAAGGATATATATTTGCTAATAATTACCTTTGGTAGCTTGCTACAAAACATACAGATGGCTTGTGAAATCAGAACAAAATTTAAAAGATAACAGAAATAAAATAAAATCTCTGTACAGCCAAGAGAATGACAGAGAAATGTTTTGATGGCTGACCAAATAAATGAGGTGATTAAGAAAATGATCACAACAAACCTGAGAGGCATTCTACAAAATAATTCAACTAACAATGTTATGAAAGACAAAGACTGAACAACTGCTCCAGATTAGAGGAGGCTAAAGAGTAATAACTAAAGCAACAATGATTTGTAATTTTTTTTTGTTATAAAATACATTGGGATACTGATGAAACTGAATAAAGCCTGTTGATTAGAAAATAGTATTGCTGCAATGTTAATTTCCTAAATTTGATAAGGAAGAATGTCTTTTGAGAAGAGAATGCCCTTGATTTGAGGAAGTAAAATTGAAGCATTTACAGGTTAATTGCAACTTTCTAATGAATAGTTCAGGAAAAGCGTGACAGAGGACAATAAGGAAAGAGGAAGAAGGAAAGAGATAAGGCAAATGTGGCAAAATGTTAGAAATTGAGGAATCTGGGAGAAACATACAAGAAATCTTTAGTATTTTTGCAACTTTTGGGAAAAACTGAAATTATATCAATATTAAAAATAAAAAGGAAAATGACTGCTGAGCAAGAAATCTGAATTAAGCTCCTTTCCATATTAAAAAAGGAAAAGATAACAAATACTAAAAGTACAAGTGGACTTAATGAGCCAAGTATAGGTATCCATAAATCAGATGGTAACGAATTTGACACTGGTAATATGTAAGACTAATGTTCAATTATTCCCTTATGAGAAAGCATGAAAGAATTAAAATGGAACAAATTTTATTCAGAAATACTAATCTTAAAAGGAAAGGTAAAAACCCTTTCTATGGAGATTTTCTTCCTTTTTTTTTTTTTGAGACAGAGTCTTGCTTTGTTGTCCAGGCTAGAGTGAGTGCCGTGGTGTCAGCCTAGCTCACAGCAACCTCAAACTCCTGGGCTCAAGTGATCCTCCTGCCTCAGCCTCCCAAGTAGCTGGGACTACAGGCACGAGCCACCATGCCCAGCTGATATATATATATATATATATTAGTTGGCCAATTAATTTCTTTCTATTTTTATGGTAGAGACAGGGTCTCGCTCAGGCTGGTTTTGAACTCCTGACCTTGAGCAATCCGCCCGCCTCGGCCTCTCAGAGTGCTAGGATTACAGGCGTGAGCCACCAAGTGAGCCACCAAGCGGGGCCTTTCTTCCCATTTTTAAAAAAGTTTTTATGCAGTAAACTGAGTTGGTTGAAAATTTGGCTATCCATACAAATTCATTTCCTAAAGATTCTATATGTTCAAGTTTTTTTCTGTACTGCCAATATATAAAATTTTACTATTTTATTGTGAAAGTTATGATTTTTCCATTAACTTTGCAATTTTAAAAGATCTCCTACACAAGTGCAGTTTTATTAGACTTAGAGGCCAGATATGTTTCTAACAGGAAGCAGTTCTGACATTATAAGGTAAGTCATGGGATCCACAAATCTGCTGAAACATTCTGTTCTATGTATGACTAGCACTTAAAGAATCCAGAATAGCTTTAAAGGGAATAGAGCAGCTAGCATAAAATACATTTAGTACCTATATACCCTGTTGTAATTTTTTTCCATTCTTGGGTTTGTATGGATATCTACTGTTGGGGACTCTCATGAGTGGAAAATGCCTAAGTTATCAAGGATGAAAATGCTTAGAGGCCTATACGAGTATGCAATTTTTCAGGCTAGTTTTTTTTTTTTTTTTTGAGAAGAGTGCTCGCTTGTTGTCCAGGCTAGAGTGAGTGCCGTGGCGTCCATAGCTCACAGCAACCTCAAACTCCTGGGTCCAGTGATCCTGCTGCCTCAGCCTCCCGAGTAGCTGGACTACAGGCATGCGCCCCATGCCCGCTATTTTTATATATATATCAGTTGGCCAATTATTCTTTCTATTAAGTAGAGACGGGTCTCGCTCTTGCTCAGGCAGTTTGAACTCCTGACCTTGAGCAATCCGCCCGCCTCGGCCTCCCAAGAGCTAGGATTACAGGCGTGAGCCACAGCGCCCGGCCTTCAGGCTAGTTTTGAATTTTGTTTCTTGTAATTTTAATAATATGGGTAAAACAAACCAAATCAACAGGGGCGGAGAAATATTTTATGACACACTGGAAGCCTAAACTACTGAGAAAAATAATGAGATGTGGCCATGTGAGGAAGGAGGAAGAGCAGGGGTCTGTGAGTGACAGCTTCCCAGGCCTCAATCTTCTCATCTCTAAAGAGAAAATACTACCCTATTCAAACCCACACAAACAATGTGGAACTAGTTTCACTTAAATCTCACCTTTAACCAGCAAGCATAGAGTAGTAATAAAAGAGTGCTATAAGTAAAAAAATATCATTCATTTATTCAACAAGCATTTATTGAGAACCATTATTAGCCAGACACTATGTTATGGAAACAAGCACAGTAGTCCCCCCTTATCAGCAGGGAGATATGTTCCAAGACCCCCGTGTTGCCGGAAACTGCAGATAGTACTGTATGTACCATGGTGGTCCCATAAGATAATGGAGTTGAAAAATCCCTATTATCTAGTGACTTCATAGCCATTGTAACATGTTAGGTAATGTGACAGCACAACACATCACCTAATATATGTTTAAATACACAAATACTTACCCTTGTGTTACAATTGCCTACAGCATTCAATACAGTAACATGCCGTACAGGTTTGTAGCCTAGGAGCAATAGGCTCTATAGCCTAGTGTAGTAGCTATACCATCTAGGTTTGTGTAAGTGCACTCTAGGATGTTGAAACAAGGGCGAAATCAACCAATGATGCATTTCTCAGAACATATTCATGTCCTGAAGTGACACATGACTATATTGTTTTTCCCTACACATACTTTTGATAAAGTTTAATTTAGAAATTAGGCACTAGAGATTAACAATAATAATTATAATAATATACTGTAATAAAAGTTATGTGAATGTACTCTCTCTCAAAATATCTTATTGTACTGTATTCACCCTTCTTGAGATGTGACCACAGAAAGTGAAAGGGAAGATAAGCGGAGACTACTGTGAAGAGATCCTGTCCATGCCCTGAGGGGGCTTACACCTGAGCTCAGGCAGACACCATTTGGTAAGTGCACCATGTGGTAAGTGCAATGCTAAAGGTATACTTGGAATGTTAAGTGGGTCCCAGAAAAGACATACCTAAGCTATCTTGGAATGAGAGCTAAGTCAGGAAAGGCATCCTGCAAAAGATGGGCCAGAGGTGTCCTAACAGAGGAGTTAACTAGGAGCTGATTTTAGGCAAGAGAAATAACATGAACAGAGAAACGAAGTTGAGATACAGCATTTCCTGGAAACTAAAAGCACCCTTTCCTTGCCTGCCAAAGACAAATCTGAAGCATCATCATGTCATTTTTCAGTATCTGGGATATCAACTGCCAGGTGAGTAGCCACTTCCTAGAGGTTAAGGCGCACTTATCCCTAAGAGTTATTGGCAGGTGTCTCCTTTCTCAAAGGAGATCCTTACCCGGGTGCAGCCAAAACAGGGAGGGGAGGGGTGAGGATGGGGGCAGGTGTGAAGGGGCCCACAAAGTCTGCCCAGTTCCAGGGGGCAATAGGAGGTCTTTCCGATTGAGGACGAGAACTTGCAGATGCAAACACAACAGAGACAGCGCCCCTCCGCGCCCCTCCGCGCCCCTCAGGCCCTGACGAGGGAACGCCGAGGACGACACAGCATCTGGGTGGAACTGACGCGCGGGGAGCCGAGAGGGCGCGGGAAGAGGCACTCGCTGCCAATGAGGCGCTTTAGGACGAGAATCACGCGCAGCGGCGGCCTGGAGATCCCGGTTTCGGAGCTCACTGTCTAGCAAGGACTCGGGAGGGCGCGGCGCCTACTCACCGCTGCTGCTGGTGAAGTAGAACACCATGATCCCTGAAACCGTGCGGCGACTCCACCGCGGAGTTGCAGCACTCAACTCGCGAAGCTCGGGATACAGAAGCGAAGCAGCCACCCCTACCCCGGAACTCCTCCGCGCACTTCCGGCGGGCGCTGGATCGCGTCATAACGCCGGGCCACCGGCGCCATCTTTAATCCTGGCTAAGTGAAGGGTATTGGTGAGGCGCGAAGCCAATGACTTGTGGTTGAGGAAAAGAGAATGGGCATCCCTGCATATTAATTAACCTCTCTACTTCACTTTCCTCAGCTGCGACATGAAGGTGATGCTAATGCAGCTAACTCACAGGATATTTTTCTAGGATTAAATAAGTTATTAGGAGTCAAGGGTTTGGAACATAGTTCCCTCAAACTCCCCACAGCACTTAGCTTTGACCTAATTATTTCTCTCGAGAAAAGAAAATAACTTTTATCTGAGGAATGCTAGTCCTTTACATTATCAGGCCCTGAAGGACATTACAATGAAACAGTAATCATGTCCTACTTCCCCTCCTTGAGCTACACATTCATCTCTCAGAATTGCTTGCTGTTGACCTAAGTAGCTATAAATTAACCTAAGAATTGCTCGGGACACTGTAACCCACCCCCACAGCAAAACAATGTATAGCCAATTACTATCAATGTTATTTACGTAAGCCGTGAGAATTCCTGACAGCTTTGTTAACAGCCTACTCCTGGTCCCCTTTTTTTGCCTTTAAAAACTTGCTTATCTACAGCTGAATTCAAAGGATCAAAAAAATAAAGAAGAAAAGAGATAAATGTAAAAATATTATAATAAAAAATTAAAAAAAAAAACTTGCTTGTACCCAAGGCCAGGTGGAGCTCACATCCAAGGCTACCTGAGGCTGAGTCTTGTGGGCAGCTGTCTTCACTTTGGTTCAAGTTAACTCTTCAAATTGTATTTTGTGCCTCAGCCTCTACCTTTTAGGCGGACACCCTTGCTTCATCCTCGTCGACATCATTCTATGCAGCTGAGCACATCACTTAACTAAATTTATTTAGAACTAAAAATGTCCCAGAGGCTGTACCAGGAGCTGGTGACACAAAGATAACAATGACAATGAATGGCGTGAGGAACCTTCTGGCTTTGCGAACCTAGTTATTCCCTGCAAACAGTTATTGTTTGCAGGCTATCAGTTTTATTCTCTATGAAATAGGAATGATGATATATACCTCGTAGAAGGTGGCGAGGAGTAAATGAAACAAAACATGTAAAGCGTCTAAGAATGCCTGGCACAGAAGCCAGTGTTCACCCCCTGATTTATCTTTTCTAGTTTAACTTGAAAAATAATGAAACAGAAACCTAAAGTTACTAATAAAAAAAGTGAAACTAACGACCAAGTTTCAAATGTGAAAAATAATTGCTTCGAGAATCTTGGAGAGGCTACTTTACAAAAACGTCTTATTATCAAGCGATCCCAGAACGTACGCGTTCAAGTGGGCCGAAAACTACAATTCCCAGAATGCCTCTAAACACGGCCCCGGGAACGGAGCCCGGCATGGTGGCAAGGGATTGTGGGAGGCGTGGTTTTCCTGAGAAGACAGCTTTCCGCCTCCGAAGGGCGGGAGAATTTTGGAGACACCATCTCCAGGTGGGCGGGGCAAGAGCTAGTGAGCCGCCAGTCACGGAGCCAGCTCCTGGAAGCGCTGAGCAGCGGCGAATCGGAACGCGGCGGCTTCTTCCTTGCTTGGCGCGCGTTGATTTGAATACGCTTCTCAGAGCGGCTGGTTCGGCTGAGGAGAGGTCGCCAAGCTCTGAGGCGCAGGTAAAAGCTGGGGAAAGTCAAAGCTGGGGGTGGAAGGCTGAGGGGAACAGGTGACTCTGTGGAACACGGGGGTGACTGTCCAGGGAAAAGAGCTTTTGCCGTGGCTTGGCGCGTCAGCGGCCGGGGACCGAGCCACCGGCCGGTTCTCCACACTCTCCTGCACCGGGTTTCCGTCTTTTTGCCCTGACAGGGTTCAGGATTCGGGACGCTTCTCTCTCCTACCTTTCCTGTCCCCTCAGCCCCAGAGTGGTCTTCCTGTAAGCCGCAGCTTGATATAAATTCTCAGAGACCCTGGTCTTTCTGTTTGTCCGCTTACCTTTGAAATCACGCTGAGGCAACTTTTTGGGGAGGAATACACCTGACTCAAAGGAAGGCGAAGGGAATGAGCTTTTATTGAGCAGCATACTTTCCGCTCAAGAGCTAACGAGCATGCTAGAATTTGTTTTCAGCAGCCTGAGGACGTCGGTGTTTTATAAATAAGCAAACGGCTTGCTCGAGGCTCCTCAGCTGGTACAATGGGAGAGAATTATGCTTCATCCATTTTCTTGCTGGGCTCTGATGAAAAGTTAAAAATGGTCTCTAGTCTCTGCTTTTATTGAACATACCGGCTGTTGAGATGGGTAAACAACAAAAAAAATGTTAAATAGAATATCAAGGGAATATGGGGTGCAATGGAAGTAAGAGAACTAGAGCATCTAACGGTGGAAGGCTTCCCAGAAAATAGTGTTTAGACTTAATGTGAATTAATCAGGCTAACTAAAGGGGAAAGTGTGCTCTGAATTAGGATAAAAACTGTTTCCTTTTTGGTAAGATCATTTTCCAGCTTGAAACATAGATATAATCCCTACTTTTCTGTTCTTAATGTGCTTCTGTGGTGTAGTGTTTTCTATTTTTAAATTCATGGTTTACATCTTTATTAAAGTAATTTGCTTTTTAAAAAATCATTTTCTTGGATCTTTATGGACCATCACCCATCTGAAAAGTTTTCAGACTTTTAAGGTATCAATAGTGATTTTTATACCCTTTTGATGAATTTGATTATTATAATTTAATTGTCCTACTGCTTTTTTAATTGTCCTACTACCTATTATAATTATAATTGTCCTACTGCTTTTAGGAATTAAGATGGCATCTTCTACTCCAAGGAAGAGGAAGCAGCATTCTTTGAACTGTGAAAAGTGAGTCTCATCTAATGCACAGAAACTCTTGAAAAAAGAAAAATCCAGACCAGGGGCGGTGGCTCAAGCCTATAATCCTAGCACTCTTGGGAGGCGGGAGGATGGCTTGAGGTCAGGAGTTTGAGACCAGCCTGAGCAAGAGCGAGATCCCACCTCTATAAAAAAAAAAATATACATATAGAAAATCCACCTCCCTGTTTCTATTGTTCTGTTTCCTATTTTCTAAAATTTCCATTCTACGATTAGTCTGCTTCCTGTGGCTATTGTAATATGATGTATTCTAACTCTAGTCAGGAAATACAGTTTTTGAGTGAATTTAGTCCTTTTGGAGGGAATCGGCTATTTTCCATGGCTGGAAATATTTGATTGCTTTTTTCATTTCTCTTATGTAATAATGTGATATTTTACATGGTGGTTTGCATATAATAGATGCCTGTCTGTAAGCAATCCTAGAAAGTCTGTATTCACAGATATAAATTACTTTCTATAGGAAAGGCCCCAGGGAGTCGGTTTATTACACAATTAATCATTTTAGGGGATTTCTTGTAGCCACTTGAGCAAATTTTATGGGCTGTAATTGTATATGGCCAAGATACAGAAATAGATTTTAAAACACACACGTATACATGTATATCAGAGATTCTTTGTATACAATGTCTATTTTCATGAACATTAATAGGATCTTACTTTGGAATGATATTTGAATGTTGTTTGATGAGGACATAATTCTACTTTTAAACTAATGTGTATATATGTTTGGGGAGGGATGTATTGTTTTCAATATGAACTAGGGTAGAGTTTATTAGGTCATTTACATAAATTTTGAAGCAAAATAATGGACTTTGTTTTTTTTCATAGCCTATTGTCAGACATTCCATCAAAGAAATCAATTTTGCACTTCACTGAAAATCTGTTTCCATCACCTAATAAGAAGCACATTTGTCAAAGCAGTGATAAAAATGAAGAAAAGGTGCATTGCTCTCAAGGCCATTTCATCTTAAGTTCACTCAAAACAACTGAAGAAGATAAAATGCCATCTGCAAATCCAAATTCACCATTTAAGTCTGCTGTGTCCACTGTATCCTTTTACAACAACAAAAATAAGTCGTACCTCAATCCACTGGAGAGAAAGTTAATAAAAGAGAGTAGATCCACTTGTCTAAAAACTAATGAAGATAAATCTTTTCCCGGTGTGACAGAAAAAATTCAGGGAAAAGCAGTTTGCTCCAAGAAGAGGAAGAAAAAACCACAGAAGAGTTTAACTGCTAAGTATCAGCCGACTTATAAGCACATCAAGCCTGCATCAAGGAACTCTAAAAATTCTAAGCAAAATCGAGTAGCCTTTAAGTCAATTATAGAGAAAGAGAATAATTGTTATTCAGCTAAAAGTAATCCTAATGCTCCTCGAATTTTAAGCCAAAAAATAAAACCACAGGTTACACTCCAGGGTGGAGCGGCATTTTTTGTTAGTAGAAAAAAATCCTGTCTTAGAAAAATTTCTCAGGAAAATGAGCCATCACTAGGACTCACCCAAAAGAATAAATCGATGACTGAAGATTCTGATGTAGAGACTGTCAGTGAAAGAAAATCTTTCGAGACAAGGCAAGTGCCAAAGTACTTATTACTGGAAAGGAAATTGAATGTTGAGCTACTGAGTGCAAGAAGTAAAAATGAAGACAAATTAATAAAGGTAAAGAAAGCTAAATATATCACTTTAAAAACAGTTGGCTATATATAACAAAATTTCAATATAAATAACGGGTATAACATAGTTGAACAAAACTTGATTTTCTTTACAGTCTGGAGGATTGCTTTTATAAAGCCAAATAGAGTTTAGCCAAATGTAAAGAATTTAGAGGCAGAGTGGAAAGATGAGATTTTTTCCCCTTTTTTGGCTTAAGGAAGCCTACTGACATTTTTTTGGCATTAAAGTATACATTTCATTAAATTCCCTCATAAGTAAATTAAGGTCTGTCCAAAGAAACTTAACCTTTATTTGGTAATCAGTGATTTTAGAAAGTAGATATAACAAAATTCAGGTAATATGTTTCCAGAGTGTAAGCATGTCATTTCTTAATTTGTTTCAGCTTATTTAAAGTAGATTATTCTAGAAACTTTGGAGAATATAGAAACCATATATAAAAAAATATCTTCTGTAATCCCACTACCTAGAGATGATCACTGTAAATATATAGTTTATTTTAGATACTGTGTTTTCACAGTTCCTATTCTATGTGCTTTCATTTGGTCTTGCTCATATTTAACACAGCTAGCCTAGACAACTGCTGGCTGATATGAGCCAAATGTAATTTTAAATTTGTCTACTGGTCACAATAAAAGTAAAAAAAAATTTTAACCAGTATATTGTAAATGTTACCATTTCAACGTAATCAATATAAAAAGTTATAAGATATTTTACATTCTTTTTTGTATAAAGTCCTTGAAATCCGTGTTTTAGCTCAATTTGGACTACCCATGTTTCAAGTTCTTATTAGCTATATGTGGCTGGTGGCTACCATATTAGACTACAGTAGTCTAGAACTTATATTGTTGACTTCCTGTCTATAAACTCCATCCAAAAAAGGTTTTTTCAAGTAGCTAGGGCTAGAAAACAATTGAGGTATCAGGCCTTAAGAAAGGCTGTCTCCCAGATCAAGGCTTCTGTGTCTGTGGTGGTTTATTTATACTCATCACTACGTTTGCAGCTGCAGAAATGATAGCTTCATATATCCAGCAATTCAAACACTCTGTGGTAATTTCCCTCCTAATCCACCTCTCATTGTCCTTTCCCCTGCTTTCTCTCAACTCCAGTTCGTACCTCTTATAATCACCTAAATTTCAAACCTCAATGGCAAAGTTTCTAAATTGGTGGCCAGTGAACCAAATCTAGCCTATGGATGTTTTGTTTGGCCTACATAATTAAAATTTTTTTAAAATTCAAGAAAACAGATTTCTGGTGTCTTGAAAAATTGGAAGGTGTGGCAAAGCAGAGCCTTCCTTTCTACATGGCAATAATCTCTCAGCCGAGTATCAGGCTGAGTATCATACCATTTGACCCTTATGGGCTCTTCATTTCCTTCCACTAAGTCAGTATATATATGTATTTAGGTCAGTTTTGATAATTTTACTTACCTTCTGCCCTTGTAGGCATTTAAGTTTATAGTCCCCACTGTAAATGTTTCTTCCTGTTTATCAAGTATTGTCAAGTATATTATTAAATGAGACATGTTCTTGCTGGCTAAGCTATGACAGTCTAATTCTAATTGTTCGTATTCTGTTTCTACCAATAAAACACCCCTGTGTCTTGATAGGGATTTGGGTTACATGGGTATGTAAGTTTATCAAAATTCATCCAACTGTATATTTATACCTGTACATTTCGCTGTATTTAAATTTACCTCAATTTAAAAAACATTTGGGCACAATTTATGCCAAAATTAAATCTCAATCCAGCAAAATAAAGTGGAGGTAGTCAGCAATTTCTTCATCCATCTCCCAGTTATTCTCTATTTGGTACAACCTTGATCTGGAGACCTGGTAAATTCTTTGCAACACCCTTTTCTGCCTTATTTTCCTTTTCTTTTCTGAGCTTCACTTTAAGGAGATGGTATTGAGTTCTATCTAGTTTTCAGTAGAATGAGAAGCTAAGGTTTTGTGCATCTTAAATTTGTAGAACTGAGCTCTGCTTTGATGAATTTGTTAAATACCCACTGCTAGGATTCATATCTGCTAGCTAACGATGAATCTAATTTTCATGAAGATACCCATTCCCCAAGTCATTATGGAGTCCTGAGAAATGGCAAACAGATAGGTTACCTGCTCTCTGCTGAGACATGGTCTTGAGTAGAAGTTCTACTTTAAACGAGGTTTTTTTCCCTTTTTCTCTAAACCCCAGTATAATTCCAAAATTAGTGGTTTTGTCAGGGAAATTTGTCAGGATTTTTTTGTACTTTGCTTTTCCTATTTCCCTGTTCGAAAAGTGGCAACCTTTGTGGGAGAAGCCTTTCCAGTGACTCCAGAATGTTGTTCTTTCTTTCACTGCTCGCTTTTCAACTTTATGACAAAAAGTCTCTTTCCAATTTGGTGGCTGCTGGGGAAAATTTCGCCATTCTTACTAATTTTTCTTGTTCATTTAATTGTTATGGAAGTGATGGTCTATAATCTTCTGCCATCTTTATCAGGGTATATAATACATTTTTGACAGGACGACAAATTACAATATGTATACTCTGGCTTTTAAAAGGTGATGTACATGGCCTGGCACAGTGGCTCACGCCTGTGATCCTAGCACTCTGGGAGGCTGAGGCGGGCAGATTGCTCGAGGTCAGGAGTTCGAAACCAGCCTGAGCAAGACCACATCTATACTAAAAGTAGAAATTAATTGACCAACTAAAAATATATATACAAAAAATTAGGCATGGTGGGGCATGCCTGTAGTCCCAGCTAATCGGGAGACTGAGGCAGTAGGATCGCTTGAGCCCAGGAGTTTGAGGTTGCTGTGAGCTATGCTGACGCCACGGCACTCACTCTAGCCTGGGCAACACAGTGAGACACTGTCTCAAAAATAAATAAATAAAAGGTGATGTACATTAAATAGAGGACATTTTTCTTAAAATAGACTGAAAATTGATTTAAAATCATATGAAGTGTAATAAACTAAATATTTTGTCTTAGAAACATCTATTAGGGTTCATTCACTAAATAGAAAACACATGAGAATTATAGATTTCCTTTTTAAAAAAACCTGTTCATTTTCAGGATTCATCAGATGGAGTAGTTTCTTCAAGGGAATGTAAAGTGGATAAAAATAAATATTTTTCTTCAGAGGATTCTCTTGGTGAGAACAAGACAAGTAAGTAAGAGAAAAGTCGCATGAATTTGGCTACTTGTGATAATGCTTCATTACATGTGTCATAAACAATTCATATAATTTCTGTTTGTTTTTTTTTTTCTCAGTAGCATGCCTGTGGTTAGTATCTTTGTGTTTATCTCTGTGACTCTTCTGTGGCAAAGCAAGTGCAGTACATTTTGAAAAGCAGAGACAAGGAGATCTTAGGTTAAAACTTCAGACAAAATACTAGTGCTTAATTCATCTGTGTCCATGGCCAGTTAAGCTCTTATAAAATCATTACCCACCCTATCTTTTACTCATAATAATAGGAGTTAAAACAATGTATGTCATATATATATTTGTGATCAAAGCCCAATATATAAAGAGGTTAATTAGCATTTTACTTCCCAGCCATATTCTTGGCAACTTCACCTCATTGGTTATGTCTATAAATTTGGAAATAAATTAAAATTCTAGGAGTAGACATGTTGACTGTAATGAGAAGCTATAGCTCATAGGAAGGAAATAAAAAGTAAAACTAAAAGCTTAATCTGGTACAATAACCCTTAGAGGATCTAATGATGTATAGAATAATTATAAATTGTGATAATTCTGAGAGGTAATGTTAATAACTAGTATATACTGAGTGCTGAATATGTAGCAAGCAGTGATAAGTAGTATACATTATGTGTTTCCCATGGTTGTATGCCTGGTACTGATATAATAGAACGTCGTATAACAAAGATAATGGCTTCTATTTACAATTGTTATAAATTTTTCTTTTACAATAAATTTATTTCAGTATGTTAGTCAATTTAAAGAAAAATGTTTCATAAATACAAATAATAGATGATACAAGGATATGGCAAACATCATGAAAGTAGTATATAAATGATTGATGTTTAGTCCTTAATAATTGCAGTTTATCATGTAATTCTCCCAGTCACCCTAGGAAATTGGTTCTTTTACGCCCATTTATAGATGAGGAAATTGACTTAGGTTAAGTATCTTACCCATACCAGATCAGGCTCTCACCTCCTTTAGTCTTGTTTTTAGAAGATGACCTCTAATTGTTTTTTAATGCAAAGTTACAGTTTGCTTTTTTACTAAATAGCCCACTTTCAATTTATTATTTTTCTCAAATCAACTGCTATTTTAACTTTGGTCTTTTTTTATATATAGGCTTTTTATTTTGCTATAATTGTATTTTTACAGAAAAGTTATAGTACAGAGAATTGCTACATATCCCATCCCTTACCTTATTTCCTCCATTGTTAACAACTTATAGTACCATAGCACCTTTGTCAAAACTAAGAAACTAGACTTTATTTGGAGTTCACCAAATATTGGTTTTAGTATATTACTGTTAATTAAACACTAGATTTTATTTGGAGTTTTTCATTAATGTCCTCTTTCTGTTCTAGGATCCAATCCAGGTACCATGATTGTACTCTGAGTGTGTTACATTTAGTTGTCATGTCTCTTTAGGCTTCTCTGATCTGTGACATTTTTACTGTCTTTTCTTTGTTTCTGTGTTTTTTATGACCATGACATTCTTGAGGAAGACTGGCCAGATACCCTGTAGAATGTCCCTGAATCTAGGTTTGTCTCATGTTTTTCACATCATTAGACTGTTAGGGGATTTTGGAAAGAATACCATAGAAGTGAAGTGCCCTTCTGATCACACCATAGAAGTGAAGTGGCCTTCTGATCACACCATATCAGTGGGCACATAATAGGTACACAGCATCACTAGTGATGTTCGCCTTCATTAATAGGTTAAGGTCATGTTTGTCAGGTTTCTCCACTATAAAGTTACTATTTTGCCTTTCCTGTATTCTATTCTTTGAAACCTAGTCACTATTAAGCCTAACCTACCTTTTAGGGGGTTGGTGGGAATTAAGCTTCCTCACCTGAAGGGGAAAATAACTACATACAGTATTTGAAATTCTGCTGTAAATAAGATTTGTCTCTAATCCCCCTTTCTTCAATTATTTAAATAAATGATTGAATCAGTATCAGTAGGGACTTGCAAATATATATTTTACATTTGGGTTATTAACCCATTACATTATTTTATTGCTCAAGTTGTTCCAGCTTTGGCCACTGGGAGCTCTTTTATTCTCTGTGACATGTCCTGTCTTTCTGTTTTGGGGGTACTTTCTTCTCGGCACTATAGTGGCAGGCTCATCTTGTATCTACCCTGCCCTGGTACTAGAATCATCCATTTCTCCAAGGAACTTGGTTACTTTTATTAGAGAATGGTATTTAGAAACCAAGATTTGGACTCTGGGTGTGATTGTTCCTATTGCAGTATTGTTTCTAGGCCCCCTTAGTAGACAGCTAGACAGTACGTATCCACACATTTATAATTGTTTCTGTTTCTCTCCATCTGTATATGTACCAAATAAACATGAGCTAATATTAATGTCTGACACAAATCCAGTACCACAGGGTTTATTCTGTCCTTTTATCTGTAACTTCCCTCTCACAAAGGTGAAACATGTTTCCGCCATTTACTAGCTACCTACTTTTATTTATTCAGTCCCAGTATATATGTAAAACAGTTTCAAAATTGTTAATTCATACCCCTGTGAGAAAAAAATTATCTATTAGATTATAATCATTAAGTACAGTCTTACAGTCTTTCTGTCTTTAACCTCATAATTTCTAGTCAAAATACCATTTGCTAAAGTTACTTGGGTCAGCTTCTCCTTCTCCCCCCTGCTTCCTTTAGCGTAGTTATGCCATACAGTTCAATTCATGTGTTACAGTCTGCATTCTCTCTTGGGATCCCTCAATATTCTGGTTTATATATATTTTTTTCTTATTTTGGTATACATTGACATTTACTCTTCGTGATATACAGTTCTATGGGTTGTTAAATGCATAGATTTCTTCACCCTAAATTTCCCTTATACCTACCCTTTGTAGTCAACTAACTACACTCGCCCCTCCTCCAGCCCCCTGGCAGCCATTAATCAATCTGTTTTTTATTCCTATAGTCCTACCTTTTCAGGTAAAAACATTATACAAATGAAATCGTACAATATATAGCCTTTTGGGTCTGGCTGCTTTTACTTAGTAATGCACTTAAAATGCATCCATGTTGCATATATTAGTGGCGATTCCCATTTATCACTAAACTGTAGGTGTACCATAAGAGTTCTTTCATATATTATGCTTGTGGTGTTGTACCTAAAAACTTAACAAACCCAAGTTCATGTAACTTTTTCTCTAATATTTTTTCTGGGAGTTTTATAATTTATGTTTTATATTTAGATCTGTGATCCATTTTGAGTTAAGTTTTACATAAGATGTATGTGTAATTGCTTACATATGGACATTTAATTGTTCCAACACCATTTATTGAAGACTCACCTTTCTCCACAGGATTACGTTTGTCACTTTGTCAAAAATAAGTTGAGTTTGCATGGGTCTATTTTGAGTTCTATTTTGATCTACTGATCTGTTTATTCTTTTTCTAATATACTGTCTTGATTACTGTTAAATCTTGAATTTGAGTAATGTGAGTTTTTGGTCTTATTAACCTTTAAAATCTTATGATTTAAAGGTTTGATTTTGTATGGTGATATAAATTATTGTCATTTTTCCCCCTTTCAGTTTCTTCCGAGTCCTCCATCTATCCCATCTTCAATGTGTCTTCAGTCAATACAAAAAGGTAACCATTGTTTTTGTTTTAAAGTTCAAGGATTATTGGTTACATAGGTCCTTGGGGTCTTTTTTTCTTTCTTATGCTAATTTAACTTAGGCAACATTTTTTTCTTCCTTACTAAAGGGAATAGGAGAATAACATTGAGAACAGGAGATGATCACGCCTGTAATCCTAGCACTCTGGGAAGCTGAGGCCAGGAGTTCGAAACCAGCCTGAGCAACAGGGAGACCCCATCTCTACTATAAATAGAAAGAAATCAATTGGCCAACTAATATATATAAAAAAAATTAGTTGGACACGGTGGCGCATGCCTGTAGTCCCAGCTACTGGGGAGGCTGAGGCAGGAGGATTGCTTGAGCCCAGGAGTTTGAGGTTGCTGTGAGCTAGGCTGATGCCATGGCACTCACTCTAGCCTGGGCAACAAAAAGCAAGACTCTGTCTCAAAAAAGAAAAGAAAAGAATAGGAGATGAAATCAGTCCCTCTCATAGAAACTGCCTAAGAACTTCTTGAATAATAATAATTACATTATATAGTACCTGGTCCATAATAAGTAGTTTGTATCTATTGTCTCACTTAATCCTTACAGCAACTCAGAAGGTAGATACTATTATTCATTTCAGCCTGGGAAAGTGTTAGTGATTTAGCCACGATTGCACAGCTGTTAGTGGCAGGACTAGAATTCATACCTGAATCGATAGCCCATTAGGCTATATTGCCCTCCCTGGGTGATGATATATTAATAATAGCTAAAATTTAATAAGCATTTACAACCTTATGATGTAGGTAGCATTATTACCCTACATTATAGATGGGGAAACTGGCCAGAGGAGTAAGTAACTTACAGAGGCTTAATGTTATCATAATTCTAGCTGCTACCACTACCCTGTTCAAAGTTAGAGCCTGCAGTGGGGGGAAGTGTGGATGGGTAGAGAGCATGATAGGTGGCAGAGCTCTGAAAAAGAAGTTTCTTATGGTCCAACCATCTTCCTGAGTAGTTTTGATTCTTTTCTCCCTATTTGATGATAAATAACTTGAGGTATTAAGCAAGGAACTTCCTGGCTAAATTTTCTAATTCTTAGAGTACCTCACCTTAAATTGATTCAGTGATTAGGTTGGTTGAGCAACTTTCCTTTTCAAGGCCAGGATCCCAGTTTTTCTCATCTTTGCCTTTTCTTGCCTGTGTTTTGTGATTTGTTATTAAAGATGGACGCTTAGTTTGTTTTGTGTTGCTATCATAGAATACCACAGACTCGGTAATTTATAATGGCCAAGAATTTATTTGGCTTACCATTCTGGAGGCTGGTAAGTCGAGGACCTAGCAGCCACATCTGGTGAGGGTCCTCTTTCTGCGTCATCCTGTGGCAGAAAGACAAAGAGAATTGATACAAAAAAGCAAGAGAGCTTGCTTGCAGCCACAAAGGCTTTAATAATTGACATTAATCCATTCATTAGGATGGCGTTCTCATGAGCTAAACACCTCCCATTAGGCCCCACTTCCCAATTCTGTTGCATTAGGGATTAAGTTTCCTTCCACACGTTAACTTTGGGTGACATTCAAACCATAGCAGAAGCCTACTACAATTAGCTGATTAAAAATATATACTAATTTCATCTACCATAAAGAGATATTAGGACACTGTTATATGAAATTACTTTTTTTGTAGACTCTAAGACATCAGATGACAGCAATTTCTTGTGGTTAAATTTATTACTTTTGCTTCAAGTAGATTATAGACTCTCCAAGTGCATAGTCTCACATTTTTGTTTTTTGTATTCATTCATTTGACAGACACATGTAGAGAGCATCTAGTGTGTGCTTTTGAATTATATCCTGAGTTCTAGATATGTGAAGCTAAATAGCACATAGTCCTGCTATCAAGGGAGGTTTTGGTTAGAGGAAGACAGACATTTAAAGACATGAGTATAAAAGTGTTACAGTTGTTAAAATGAAAATAAAGAGATTGCTGTCATGTATGCAAGGTCAGGGAGAGCTGAGTTATTTATCAAAGGCTGCATAAAGTAGAAAGAGTTAGTGATCTTGACAAGTGTTTTTCATACTGCAGATAGCAGCTCTTTAGTAGTTTGTCAAACCCATTTTGGGGTGTCATATCCAGAGTTTTTTTAATGGAATAGTACATCCCACACAGCAAATGTATTTAGTGAGACTTGGGTTTTAGTTATATATGTGTACTAGTCTTTTTTTTTTTTTTTTTTGAGACAGAGTCTTGCCCAGGCTAGAGTGAGTGCTGTGGCGTCAGCCTAGCTCACAGCAACCTCAGACTCCTGGGCTCAAGCAATCCTTCTGCCTCAGCCTCCCGAGTAGCTGGGACTACAGGCATGCACCACCATGTCCGACTAATTTTTTCTATATATATTAGTTGGCCAATTAATTTCTTTCTACTTATAGTAGAGATGAGGTCACATTCTTGCTCAGGCTGGTTTCGAACTCCTGATCTTAAGCAATCCGCCCGCCTCGGCCTCCCAGAGTGCTAGGATTACAGGCGTGAGCCACCGCGCCCGGCCTTGTGTACTAGTCTTGATATGAAATACATCTCTTACCATAGGTTTGTCAAGTCATTTTGAAAGACACTTTTTCCGACAAATGATAACAAGACAGCTTGACTTAGCTTAAAGCATTGTGTAGGTTTTATTCTACTTTCTTTTTACTTGTCAGATTTTTTTTCTGCTGTCTTCTTACTTTGGGCACTTAGTTTTTTCCTTGCCTATTTACTTCTTTTCTTTAAGGACTTCTTTTCATTCTGGAAAACCAAGGTCCTTTCATTATAAAGCAAGGGTTACAAACTCTGTGCCTCCAGAGCCATCAGGCTGGGTGGAGACTAGGGCCACTTGGAGAACGGCATGCCACATTTAAAAGAGCATGTGCTATTTCAAGCTCCAACTAGTTGCTTCTTTGAAGGATAGAGCAGTCTAGTGATTTTGTAGTGTCTCTTGTAATGTTGGAAATACACATTTTTAAGTGAAATCTCTAGATTTTAAAATATTGATAGCTAATCCAAAGTTTAAAACATCATGTGGGCCACCCAAAACATATTTGCTAGCTGGATTTGGCCTGAAGGGCTCTAGTTTGAAACCTCTATAAGCCAATCCCAACATTCTTTCCTAATGGGAAGAGGTTGGCTCAACTACAGCTATCCAGCCAAACATTTATTTTATTTTATTTTTCCTTAAGAATTTTACAGTAGTGGGGTGCTGCTTTCTATATGAGGAAAAGTGAATTTATTAGCCTCATGGCCCAAGTAAAAAGTTGTTGGATCATAATATGCTGGTAACTGATTTCCTGTGGATCTGTGAGATTCAGTATTGGAGTCTACTTATTTGCTGTAGGAATTTTTTTATACCTACACAGGTAAATGTCCTAAGATTTGATAAAGGAAAAAAAAAAAGAAAAAGATCTTTTAAGGGCGAAGTCAACTTCCATAGTGGTTCTACCTATGTGCATCTGATACTGTAAAGGAAAGTTCCTTGGATTAGAGTCAGAAGACCAGGATTTGACTTAACACTCCTGATCACTAGTTACTTTACCTTGAGTAAATTACCCTCTCTGAGTGGGCCTGAGGTTTCTCATCATTCCTGTCCCTACTACTTCATCAAGTTACTATCAGATAGAAAAGACTAAAAATCGCAAGGCGCTCTATAAATGTTATATACATATGTCTGTTTTAATTGTAATTCCTCAAACATTTTAAGGTTATTATATAATATTTATCAATTTTCTATTTCAAGATCTCTAGCTGAAGAACAGTTTTCTGTGGGATCCATCATATGTACTAACGTCTTGAAACAGACCAATACCCAGAAAAATACTAATGCCAGAGATACAAATAAAGAATCAAAAGACCAGCTTGTCATTGTGAGTAAATTCAAGAGAAAGCTCTTGTCATGGCTGTCACATAAAGAACATGAAGTCAGATATTTAAACTTAGCATAATTAACTTGGGTTTATTGATATTCTGAGTTTTATAAATGCCAGTTTTGTTATACTGATCACATTAAAGCTAGTTAGTAGACTTTTGAACTGATAATATTGGACGATGCTAGTATTTTCGTAGAATGTGATCAATGAGTTGTCTCCAGGTAAAGAAAATTATTGTTGATTGACAAAAGATTTGATGGGAATAGCTATACTGAGTTAGGCCTGGGTTGGCATACAATGACCATGGGCCAAACCTGATCCATGGCCTATAAGCTGAAAGTGGTTTTTACAGTTTTAAAGGTTTGAAAAAGAGCAAGAGTATGTGACAAACCATGTGTGGCCTGCAAAGCCTAAAAGATTTACTGTCTGGTCCTTTACAGGAAAAAGTTCGTCAAGCCCTGTGTTAGACAGTTGAGAAGCTGGTATTTTCATTGGTAGATTTTGGCATTGAATGTTCTTGACTTCCCTATATTTATGAATGTATCCATGCTTTTCCTGGACTTTTATTATATATTTTTTATAAGTTCTTGGGTCAAAGAATCTTAATATTCTTTAAAAATAAAGAACTTAATATTCCTAACTGCTTAAGGAGAAAATACTATATAATTAATATAGAAATCCTGAAAGTTTTTTGCCCTTTCTCCTTTAAATAAGATTTTCTTTTTTCCACGCAGACATCTGAAAGCTGAGAGAAATAAGATTATTTTAGGTCTTTTAGAGCTTTGTAAAGAAGTCCCATGGTTCATTCTAGCTATCATTTTTATGAAGAATCTTAGTTTTTTTTTTTTTTTTATACCGTCCTTTTAAAGAAACAATTCTATCACTTTTATCAATTTATTGCATTTTTAGGTCTCTTTTCATTCTACTTTGTTTTGGGGGAGGGGAGGGGAGAGAGGAAGGTGTAGTAACCAGACATAAATGAAAGTCTTTTTTTGATTTTTGAGACATAGTCTCACTTTGTTGCCCAGGCTAGAGTGAGTGCTGTGGTGTCAGTCTAGCTCACAGCAACCTCAATCTTCTGGGCTCAAGCGATCCTACTGCCTCAGCCTCCTGAGTAGCTGGGACTACAGGCATGCGCCACCATGCCCGGCTAATTTTTTGTTTATATATTTTTAGTTGGTCAATTAATTTCTTTCTATTTTTAGTAGAGACGGGTTCTTGCTCTTGCTCAGGCTGATTTCGAACTCCTCTCGGCCTCCCAGAGTGCTAGGATTACAGGCGTGAGCCACCGCGCCTAGCCGAAAGTTTTCCACTTATTGCCAGCATAAAAGAAAAATAAGGAGAAATTTGAGTGAATAGTTACATGAACTTAATTTAGAGCTATTTGTGATATATTTAGATTGGCTCCCCCCACCCACCCAATTACAGGATGCAGGTCAGAAACATTTTGGGGCTACTATGTGTAAGTCTTGTGGCATGATATATAGTGCCTCCAACCCTGAAGATGAAATGCAGCATGTTCAGCATCACCACCGATTTCTGGAAGGAATCAAATATGTGGTAAGTCAGAAGGTAATCTTTTCAATTTGTCCTAAAAGTAAAACTTCCTTAAAAGAGACTTTTAAAATTAAATATGAAAGATCTATGCATCCATAAATATTTCATTGTCTGCAGTTTTCTTGTCCTTAAAATTTGAGGCTGACACTATTAAAACTTTTAATGTTTCAAACTTAGTATCCTAATATAAAAGAACTGTTTTGTAAATACCCTGCATTCTGAGCAGAGGTGAATAGTCAGAAAGGTACAAAACTCGAAGACTTGAAGAGATCCCCTCTTCCCACTGTCATCTCTTCTTTATAACTGGCTTTAGAAAAGCAACCTTTGATTTTTCCAGGCTTTTTCTGAGAGGTCCTATGTCTTTATCAAACAACTTTGAAGTCCAAACACAGCCTATGGTTGGCCTTATCTTTATGATTGTACCTGCTTACTCAAATACATTCCTTTTTTTCCTATTTTTATTGTCATAGTTCATGCCTTTACAGTATTTTTATCTTGGTTTATTAAACCAGCTTCCTTACTGGGCTCCCACAGTGCAATCAGAATAATTTCTTAAAACATGAGTCTAGTATGATTCTACGTGGTTTTAGAAAAACTCCTGCCAGCAGTTAGGGGCTCCTTAATCTGGCCTCAACCTTCTCTATATATGTATATATAAAATGTATATGAGAGAATGTGTGTATGTGTATAGTTTAAATTCATGCCCTCTCTGATCTGTTTTCTGTACATCAGCCAGGGAGTTCTTTCTAAGATACAAGTATAATTCTGATGTTTCCTGCTTCAAATTTGACAGCTTCCCGTTGCACTGGGAATAAAACCCAAACTCCTCACCATGGCCAGCTGAGCTCTTCATTATCTGGCCCCAGCCCACCTCGTCACATGGCACATTCCCCATTGAGCTCTCAGATCTGGCCTCTGGAACAAACCAAATTCTTCTGATGAAGTCTGTCTATACCGTATTGGGTTGCTTTCTTTCACATGTGTCAAAATTCATAAGGTGCAAAAATGTATCCAGTGAAAATTCTCCCTACCCCTTTCAGTTATCAGTTCCCCTATCCACAGGCATCCAGTGTTAACAGTTTCATCTGTATGTCTTCCAGAGATATTTTCTGAATATACAAATACCATTACTTGATTTTTTAAAACCTTTTTATGGTGTGTATTGCCACAGAAAATTAAAATTGAAATTTTAATTAACTAATTTGTGACCACTGGGTTTTAGGAACATCATTCTCAATCCCAAGATTAATAAAAAGTTTTTCATATATATAATATATAAATTTCAGAATATTAGTGGGATACAAATGTTCTGGCTACATGTATTGGTTTTATAAAATTTGGGTCCATGTTATAAGTGTGCCCATCACCCAGATAGTGTGTATTGTGCCTAATAGGTGTGAATTTACCCAACCCCTCCTCCCTCTTCCCATTTCTTATATTTTAAAAAATATTTTTATAGCTATAAATTTTATATTTAGATCTTTAATCCACAGGAAATGTTTTAAGGCATAGCATTGGAGTTGGATCTTAACTTTGTATTTTTCCTAAAGGGTTGCCAAGTGTGCCAACATTACTGTTTGACTAGTTCATGTTCCACACTGATTATCAATGTCACCTTTAATGTATTCTAAATTCCCACATACAAATGAGTCTGTTAGTGAACATTGTGCTGCACCATTAGTCTGTCTCTGTGCCAGTACCATACTCTTAAATGTAGCTTCATACTCTGGATATCTAGTCAAGTAAGTCCTCTTTCATCTTTAAAAATGTCTTGACTTTTTCTGCACATTACTCTTCCACATAAACTGTAAAATGAACCTATCATTAAGTTCCCCCAAAATAAAAAACCTATTGGAATTTTGATTTAAATTATAGTCAAACTGATGTAATTTTCTCTAGGGTAAAAAAATTTCTATTTTTCATAGTGAGTCTTCTAGTTCAGGAACTTAGTGTAACTCTGTTGATTCATGTCTTTTATATCCTTCAGGAAAATTTTATAGTTTTCTTCATGTGGATCTTATTAAATTTATTCCAGATATCCCAGTCTCATTTCTTCTAGTCATTCAATCAATCACATCAGACTTTTTGCCATTCTCTGCACCTTTGCTTATTCAATAAGTTACTTTAGCCTAGAGTGACCACCTTCCCCATTATGTTCATTGAAACTTTACCAAGCTTTTTAAAACCCTTGTCAAATGTCATACTACTTCAACATATTTCAGTTAAGTACTGGGTCCACGTGCCAAAGCACTGTGCTAGGGACTGGGATTAAAGTGGTTAGTAAGACAGTGAGCCTGTCTGCCAGTCTTGTCAAGCATAGGGGAAAGAAGTCTAAAGACTCCTACTAAGCCTTTCCTTGGAGTTCTGCTTATCCTACTACCCCTCCCCCACCTGCCCACCCCTGATAATTCAGTATTTCTCTATATTTCTATGAAGGGCTCTTGTTTTATTTTGTTTTATACTGGATTATTATATATATGTCTCCAAATAGCATGTCAGCCCATTGAGGACAAGCACTTTTGTTTTAGGCATCTTTTGTTTCCCTTCTCATGTTACTTTTAGTTGACTTCATCCTGTCTTAATGTTAATATCATTAATGTTTAGCCTTTTGTGTTCTCCAGACCAAATTATCTAATGTTGTTTTCCTCTTCACAAGTTAAAGTGTGACCCCCTTTTATCCCCTTTTGCCAGGGGTGGAAGAAAGAACGAGTAGTAGCAGAGTTTTGGGATGGGAAAATCGTGTTGGTCCTGCCTCGTGATCCAAGTTACGCTCTCAGAAAGGTGTGGAACATTATCTTTTTAATCCTTGTTCTTCCCCCACACCCAAGAAATCAACCTTTGTTAAAGTGTGAACTGCCTTTGCTGACATATAATACACTTGGGTATGTGTGCCTAAGGATGACTTTTGTAGTTTATACTAAACTAAATTTAGAATTACAAGAAAGCAGATAATGCCGCACAGCTTGTCTTTCACCTTCTTTTACTTGTGAAAGATAAACTAAGCTTTTCAGTGTTGAGAAATTAATGGCCCTGGGGTATCTTTCTTATGTTGGTGTTTCCTGTGTTTCTAGGGTTGGATGTCACCATAAACAGTGAATCAAGTGTAAACAAATCTCTTTTGGTACTTCTCCTTATCCCTCCCAGGTGTCTGAATTTCATTCTGGTGAAAATGATCTTTTTTTTATCTTTTTTTTTTTTTTTTTTTTTTTTTGAGACAGAGTCTCGCTTTGTTGGCTAGGCTAGAGTGAGTGCCGTGGTGTCGGCCTAGCTCACAGCAACCTCAAACTCCTGGGCTCAAGCAATCCTTCTGCCTCAGCCTCCCAAGTAGCTGGGACTACAGGCATGCGCCACCATGCCCGGCTGATTTTTTCTATATATATTAGTTGGCCAATTAATTTCTTTCTATTTATAGTAGAGATGGGGTCTCGCTGTTGCTCAGGCTGGTTTCGATCTCCTGACCTCGAGCAATCCATCCGCCTCGGCCTCCCAGAGTGCTAGGATTACAGGCGTGAGCCACCGCGCCTGGCCCTTTTTTTTAATCTTTAAAATTGGTTTATAAAATCCTGTTTCCAAAGTAGCAGATACATGCATCAATAGTGAAATAATTTGGGGGTGTGTGTAAATTTAGGGAATTAGAATTAAAAGACTAAAATGGTAGTAATCATACATTTTGTGCATATAAATGTGTAGTTTCTACTGTACTTTTAAAAACAAATTCACCTTTTTTTGTTTTAACATCGTTAGGTAGAAGATGTCCAAGAACTTGTTGATAGTGAATTGGGCTTCCAGCAAGTTGTTTCCCAGTATCCAAACAAAACCAAAACTTTTCTCTTTATATCTGATGAAAAGAGAGTAGTTGGATGTTTAATTGCAGAGCCAATCAAACAGGTATGGTATATGTCTTTTAAATTATTGGTATAATTTGTGACCAGAAGAAAAAGTTGGGAGGAGTGTCAATAAACATTTAAGATCGCTACCATTAATGACTTTTTCCTACTAAAATATCCTTGACCATATGGATAATAGAAGTCATTTATTTTTATTAACATTTGGACATTTTACCTTATATAAGCAGGATAAGTAAGCTGGTCTTATATTCAGAAAATCATTTCCATAGTATAGTGATTTTAAATAAGCAAATCGATAGACTCAAGTTATTAAACATGTAACTTAGTAACGGTTAATATGTATGACAAAATAATTACTTATCCCTTAATGAAAATCTAATTTAGGTACTAATTAGCAATGTTCTAGAAGGTGTTACGGTCTTCCCTTGTATTAGGAGTTGGGGAGAAATGCAGCAGGTTTGTATTATTGGCAGTAAAAGTGATCAATTTGGCCTTTTCCTCCCCTCAGCTTTATTAACGTATAACTGACAAATGAAAAGTGTATCTTATTTACAGTGTATAATGAGATGTTTTGATATATGTATGCCTTGTAAAATGACTGACGTCCTTTATTGCACATACTTACCATTTTTTTGTGATGAGGACATTTAAGAGCTGTCTTAGCAGTTTTCAAATATACATTAACTATAATGACCATACTGTACAATAGATCTCCAGAACTTAATTCATCCTAACTGAAACTTTGTACCCTTTTATCAACATTTTCCCATTTCCCTCATCACCCACCCCAACCTCCAGCACCCACCATCCTACCGTCTGTTTCTGTGAGTTCAGCTTCTTTAGATTCCACATATAAGTGAGATTATGCAATATTTGTCTTTTTTTTCTGAATGATTTCACTTAGCTTAATGTCCTCCAGGTTCATTCATGTTGTTGCAAATGACAGGATCCCTTCTTTTTTAAGGCTGAATAATATTCCATGTGTATATATAACACATTTTCTTTATTCATCCATTGATGGATACTTAGGTTGATTAATGTTTTTAACTGTTGTGCTGCAATTAGTACCTATATTTCTTCAACATACTGATTTCTGTTCCTTTGGATATATACTCAGTAGTAGGATTGTTGAATCATGTGGTAGTTCTATTTTTGTAATAATCATAACAGGTGTGAAATGATACCTCTTTATGGTTTTAATTTGCATTTCTCTGATGATTCATGTTGATGAGCATTTTTTCATATACCTGTTTCTCACTTCTGTGTCTTCTTTTTAGAAATGTCTATTCAGGTTCTTTGCCCACTTTTTAATTGTGTTTACTTGCCCCCTTGAGTTTGAGTCCCTTATGTATTTCGTATATTACCCCTCATATGTGTGGTTTGCAAATATTTTCTTTCAATTGGTAAGTTATATTTTTCACTGTTGTTTCCTTTGCTAGGCAGAAGCTTTGTAGTTTGATGTAGTCCCATTTGTATGTTTTTGCTTTTATTGGCTGTGCTTTTGGGGTCATATCCAAAAAATCAGAAATAATTGCCCAGACCAATGTCAGGAATGCTACTGTTTTCTCCTAGTGGTTTTACAGTTTCAGGTCTGTATCTTGATTGTGGTGGTAGGTAAACGAATACACAGGTGTGATGAAATGTCATGGAACCTTACATATCATACCAATGATAATTTCTTGGTTTGAGTATGTACCATAGTACAAGAAGTAACCACTGAGCAAAACTGAGTGAAGAATACATGGGTCCTCTGTACCGGTTTTTCAACTTCTTATGAATCTATAATTATTTCAGAATTAAAAAAAAAAACTTAAATACCAACCAAATTTCATGGTTAATATATGTAAACCTTCTGTAGTATTATTAGTTTTTTTAGGTTATATATAAATTTAGGATGAAGATAATGGGAGAAGGTTATGTCCTTTATTAAAAGTAAGGTTTTTTAATTAAAGAGGGAAGTTTCATAATGGTATGGAATGCATGGGAATGTGGAAATATCTCAACACCAATTTTTTTAAGCACAGTGTGACTATAAATGGATAAGAATTTTAAAAATATAAAAGAATGTTTAACACTTTTAGTGGAGATGTAAAATTAATTTTAGATACTTCAGTTTTATATAAGGGAAGTTTTCCTTTAAAAGAACTGTGAACTCAATCTGTGGTGTTAGCTAAAGATGTTTCTGTATATCACTTCAGGCCTTTCGTGTCCTGTCTGAACCAACTGGCCCGGAATCCCTAAGCTCTAAAGAATGTCCTAGGGCGTGGCAATGTTCAAATGTACCAGAACCTGCGATCTGTGGGATAAGTAGAATCTGGGTTTTCAGATTGAAGAGAAGAAAGCGTATTGCTAGACGACTGGTGGATACTCTCAGGTAAGAAAATAAAATGAGGAATCACAGTAGCTACAGGTGCTGTTGGCAGTGGTCTAGGGAGGAAAAAGTTGACACACTGGGTAACAGCCAGGACTCATGCAGTGCTATGGATCAGAGGTGGTTCACAATATAAACAGGAAACCAGCAATGAGAATCTGCTATTCCAGTGGAATATCATTATGGGGAGCCTGTTAAGAAATGTATCTTGTGCGAAAACAATGTAGATTAGAAGAATGTACAGCTTTTGTCCCAGTTTAATTCTCTATTTACAGGATGTACTTATGAAGGGAACATAACAGGTCTTTGGGAGGAAGCAGAAAGAATCACAAAAGCGATTAAGACAGCTCTCATAGTAAGGTTTACGTCAGTTAACGTACAAGGATTCTGCATATCTCAAAAACCCTAAAGTTTAAAACATAAAATATTAGGAATAAATTATATAACATTACCATCAATAAACATATTTTGCAGTTAAAGAAAGAAAGAAAATGGATCAAGACTAGAACCTTAGCTTCTTAGCTTTTCCAGAACCTCTCAGCTTCTAAGCCAAAGAGAAGGATATTGGTAGGACACTTCTATAAAATACTATCAGGCTAGGCATGGTGGCTCATGCCTGTAATCCTAGTACTCTGGGAGGCTGAGGCAGGCAGATCAGTTTGAGCTCAGGAGTTCGAGACCAGCTTGAGGAAGAGTGAGACCCCGTCTGTACTAAAAAAAAAAAAAAAAAAAATATATATATATAAAATTAGCCCGGCATGGTGGTGCATGCCTATAGTCCGGGCTACACAGGAAGCTGAGGCAGTAGGATTGCTTGAGCCCAGGAGTTTGACGCCACGGCACTCACTCTAGCCTGGGCAACAAAGCGAGACTCTGTCTCAAAAAAAAATAAAATAAAGACTTGCTATAATTCATAAGTTTAAACATAAAAAGAGAGCAAGACAACCCATAGAATTGGAGAAAATATTTACAAATTGTTTCAGGGTCTCATATCTAGCATATGTAAAGAATTCTTATAACACAACAGTAAAAAGCCTGACTTCGAAAATGGGCAAAGAATTTCTAAAGACATTTCTCCAAAGAAATACAAATGTACAATAAACATAAAGATGCTCAACATCTTTATCAAGGAAATCACAAACCCAAACCACTGTGAGATGCCCCTTTATACCCATCAGGGTGATTGTAATCAAGAAAAGGGAAAATAACAGGTGCTGGTGAGGGTGTGGAGGAAATTGGAACCCTCATACATTGCTAATAGGAATGTAAAATGGTACAGATGCTGTGGAATATAGTCTGGCAGTTTCTCAAAAGTTAAACTGTTACCGTATGACCCAGCAGTTCTCCTAGGTATATACGCAAGATAAATGAAAGCATGTGTCCACACAAAAACTTGTACATGGAGGTACCCAGCAGCATTATTCAATAGCCAAAAAAGTATAAACAATCCAATCTGTGTTGAATGGATAAGTAAAATGTTGTATATCCATTCAGTAATAACAATAGGATATTATTCAGCCATAGAAAGGAAATTCTAACACATGCTACAACATGGATGAACCTTGAAAACATTATGTTAACTGAAATAAGCTAGTCCAAAAGATCCCACTTTGTATGATTCCATTTATGTAAAATGTCCAGTATAGGCAAATCCATAGAAACAATAAGTAGTTTAGTAGTTTCCAGGGACTGAGGGAAGGGTGACTGGAGAGCAGCTAATGGTACAGGGTTTGGGAGGCGATGAAAATGTCTTGTGATTAGATAGTGGTGGTGATTGGATGATTTTTGTGAATATATACAAAACCACTGAATTGTATACTTTTACAGGATGAGTCTTATATGAATTATGTCTCAATAAATAAATTAATGATTCTCCATTTTAAACTCTAATGTGCACACTTTCAACTAATATTTTATATTGATATTTAAAGTATCTAATGTGACCTACAAACTTGCTCAGTAATTTACCTAATCTAAGTTACATGGATGAATCTCAAAACACTTATTCTCTCAACTTGTACACATATCTCACTGTGGACAGGTAACAAGATTACAAACCAGTGACCATACTTTGACAAACCAAGGACCACACTTTGAATAGCATTTTTCAAGTCTTAAGTTCTGTGCCACTTTTAAAGAATGAATACCAAGACCACTATGGGGATCCAATCTTGGATCATAATCGTAGTCACCCACACATCCTTAAAAAGGGAATTTAGGAGGGTTGGTTAAAAAAAATAAAAAATTTAAAATTAAGAAAGGAATTAGAAAAATTGGTATTTTATAAAGGTTTTTATTTGATAGTTATGAAATACCTCTGTTTTCTATATTTTATATGAAGAGATGTATAAATTTGGTATGAGGAATACCAATATCTAACCCAATACCACCAATGCTTCTCAAACTTGAATGTGCCTATGAATCACCTGGAGATCTTGTTAAAATGTAGGTTGTGATTCAGTAGGTTTTGGGTGGGGCTTGACTTTCTTCTGCATTCCTAATAAGCTGTCAGGTGATGTTGGATATTGCTGGTCCGTATATCATACTTTGAGTAGTAAAGTAAAAGGTATAAACAATAATTAGCAAAAATTAAATTACCCACAAAGGAAAGAGAAAACACATTTGAAAACACCTGTATCTTCCCACATATTTAAGTGGAAGATATAGGTAACATAATTGGCAGCTATCCTGTACATAGGGGCCTTAGGCTAAACTCTGTCTTTTCCATACAGGAGATGAGTATGTTTAAGTCCTTACAGAAATAGAATATCATTTCTAGTTGTTTTACATTTCTAGTTGTTTTACATATCTGTAATAATTTCTATTACAGAAATAGAATATCATTTCTAGTTGTTTTACATAGGAAATGTTTTACATTTCTAGTTGTTTTACATAGAGTTGTTTTACAATTTCTAGTTGTTTTACTATGTTTTACATAGTCCTGAGCTAGGGCTCAGGACTATTTATACAGATTCACCCTATTGAGCTAGTCAAGGGCAGAGTTAAGAATCAAATACAGAAGTCTGGTGTTCTTTCTATAGTTACTACTTAATAAAGACAGTAACAGCTATTTAACCAGTAGTTTGCTTTGGATTCTAGTAAGTTTGGCAATAAATTGTGTATTCAACTATAGTATTAATAAGAATACTAGAAGGTTGTATCTTTTAATTGAAGTCAATTGTTTAATTTTTTTTTTTTTTTTTTTTTGAGACAGAGTCTCACTTTGTTGCCCAGGCTAGAGTGAGTGCCGTGGCGTCAGCCTAGCTCACAGCAACCTCAAACTCCTGGGCTCAAGAGATCCTCCTGCCTCAGCCTCCCGAGTAGCTGGGACTACAGGCATGCACCACCATGTGTCACTAATTTTTTCTATATATTTTTAGTTGGCCAATTAATTTCTTTCTATTTTTAGTAGAGACGACGGGGTCTCACTCTTGCTCAGGCTGGTTTTGAACTCCTGACCTCGAGTAATCCGCCTGCCTCGGCCTCCCAGAGTGCTAATGATTACTAGCATGAGCCATCACGCCTGGCCAATTCTTTAATTTTTTTTTATTCTGAAATAATTTCAGACTTACAAAAGAACAGCAAGATAGAAGTAACCCCCATATACCTTTGCCAAGATTCATTCAGTACATCATTTTACCTCATTTGCTTTACCATTCTATCCATGGATACACTTTCTTACTGAATTATTTAAAAGTAGGTTACATCCATTATGCCCCTTCACCCCTTCATGCTTGAGTGTGTATTTCTTAAGAACAAAAATATTCTCTTACATAACCACAGTACAATTATCAAAAAGGGGAGTTTAATAATGATATAATGCTTTTATCTAATTGATGCTTCATATTTCAGTTTCATCAATTGTCTCCAATGTGCTTCACGGAATTGATTTTTTCCTGTCTAGGATTGCAGAATTTTTTCTGAATCTATTTTCTTCTCTGTGAAATGTTACACTTCTGTCTCTAAAATCTGAGGCATTTTATCACTTAATATAAGAAAAATGTCAATTTAAGTCAAGAGTATTTACTTAAATTGTGCTAATGTTTACTTAGAATTAAGGGGTGTAGTGGCTCACACCTGTAATCCTAGCACTTCTAGGAGGCCAAGGTGGGTGGATCACTTGAGGCCAGGAGTTTAAGACCAGTCTGAACAAGAGTGAGACCCCGTCTCTACAAGAACTAGCTTATCCAGGTGTGGTGGTGTGTGCCTGTAGAGCTGCTGGGGAGGCTGAGGCAGGAGGATTGCTTTAGTCCAGGAGTTTGAGGTTGCTGTGAGCTAGGTTGATGCCATGGCACTCTAGCCCAGGCAACAGAGTGAGACTCTGTTTCAAAAAAAATAAAATAAAATAGAATTAAGTTGGTTCCATTGTTAAATCATCTTTTCTTCTTTTTAGGAATTGCTTCATGTTTGGCTGTTTTCTCAGCACTGATGAAATAGCATTCTCTGACCCAACACCAGATGGCAAGTTATTTGCAACCAAGTACTGCAACACCCCTAATTTCCTGGTATACAATTTTAATGGTTAAAGCCAGTTTCAAATATAAAACAGTTACTGTGTGGATAAGCTCAAAAATTATCTAGGGATTTAAAGAAAAGGAAATTCTTTGGGTGATGTATTGATTAGCACTATAAATCCTTAATTATGAAACTTTGTAGCTATAACTGAAAAATTACTTGACTCCTGTTTAAGAGTATTGACAAAGGTGTTTTCTACAGAAATGTGATCTGGTCTTTTGTTTTTTTAGGCTTTTTTGTTGTTTTCTTTTCTTTTTTTTAATTTAAACAGGTTTATTTTGAGCTTGAATGTGTGTGACCAGCCTGGAGCACATTGCTTCAAGAGGTCTCTAGAAAATGTGCCCCAACCTGGTCTTTTATAAAGCACACCTTTAGACCAGGATTATCTCATGCCACATCAGAAGCAAAGAGGCAAATTTAAACCAGACAAAAATATTTCCATGCTCAATTTTTAAAGATAATTCCTGAATTCTATATACAAAGTTCTCACTTTATAGGTCCTTTATAGCAACTCAGTCTGAATATATTTAGAAATTTTGAGTTTCTTATCTGTAACAAGAAAAGGTGGTAAGGAAAGAGTAAGACATCCCATATCTACTTACGTAGAACAGAATTCCATGGCTTAATGTTTTAATCTCTTTGAAAATTAAATATACAACTGCCATCAAATTTAATTAAAATTATACTTAGTAATTACACTATTATCATTTCATTGATTTTTGTTGTGTGAAAATACTGACAGTGCTACTTTAGGAACTTGTTACTAGGAATTGATGTTATTAACAAAATGGATGCCTAATTTGTTTGGTTTTGTTTTTGTATTTTTTTACTTATTTAAAATACACCTTCTTGTTCTGAGACATCTGGCGAAGATCTTTGCAAAATGTATGGTCACAGAACCAGGGTTAGTAAATATATCTAGGCTGGTGGACCAGAGAATATGATGACATTATGTAACTACACCTAAATGTGTGCACATTTTTCTAGTATAATTCTTTCATGCTTGCTTTGTAAAGCAAATAGAAATTATTCAGATTGTTTTGATTCTAAAAAATCTTTTACTATCTGGCAATAAGACTCTAGGTGAGTAGCTCTTCAAGTTGTAACTCTGTAGAATCTGCTCATCTGCAATCGTTTTGCCTGTAAGTTAACATGGTTCCACAATTTAAAAGCCTGGGTTCCAAAAGGAATGTAGAAGTGTTAAAATGTGTGTAATAATGTAAACATTTTAATACTATTTTCTGCACTGCTGTTCTTTAAAATTCTTTAAAAAATTTATTTAAAAATGTTTATTACCTATTTTGTTTGCTCAATGCTTTTGTGATGTATCAATTAAAATTCTTTTAAATACTGTCTAGTCTCATATAATCTGATGTTCTTTTTAAATTATTATAGTAAAAATACTGGCCAGACGCAGTGGCTCATGCCTGTAATCCCCAGCACTCTGGGAGGCTGAGGCGGGCGGATTGCTCAAGGTCAGGAGTTCGAAACAGCCTGAGCAAGAGCGAGACTGTCTCTACAAAAAATAGAAAGAAATTAATTGGCCAACTAAAAATACATAGAAAAAATTAGCTGGGCATGGTGGTGCATGCCTATAGTCCCAGCTACTCGGGAGGCTGAGGCAGTAGGATCACTTGAGCCCGGGAGTTGAGGTTGCTGTGAGCTACATTGACACCACAGTACGCTAGCCCCGGCAACAGAGTGAGACTCTGACAAAAAAAAAAAAGAAATTCAGATAATACAGAAATAGAGATTACTAAAAGAAGTTCCCCATAATCCTACTTTGAGTTTAGTGTATATTACTTCAGATTAATTAAATATATATGCAGTTATTTTGCAACTTGGTTCACTTCAGTGTTTCTTAGACATGTTGTATTTCAAGTACCTATTTCTGTTTTACATACATGCCATGATTTGCTGTTGATACTTTTGGTTTGCTTGGGTTCTTTTTTATCTAAGTATAGCACATAAAAGAAGCAAATGCACTAAGAAGACCTCAAAGCAATGATACCCTAACAGCAGTGAGCACATCTAACACCAAGATCTTAGTTTCCAATACCTTTCTCCAAAAAAAAAAAAGGAACTGGGGCTCCTTGGAGAAATGGCTCATTCTAAGGCTTGAGACTATGTACAAGATGAGCCTAGAACATCTTGCACAGCAGTAACCCCTTGTCCTATTCACAGTTTTGTGTTCTGAGGTTTCAGTTACTCAAGGTCAACTATGGTCCAAAATTATTAAATGGAAAATTATAGAAATAAACCATAAGTTTAAAATTGCTGCTATTCAGAATAATGTGATGAAATCTTGTACCATCCCACCCTGGATGTCATATTTTCGTCCAGCATATCCATACAGTATATGCTACCCTCCTGTTAGTCACTTACTAGATGGAGTTTATCAGATCTGTTAGCATCGCAGTGCTGTCTTCAAGTAACTTTTATTTTACTTGATAATGGCCCCGAAGTACAAGAGTAGTGATGTTGGCAATTAAGACATGCCAAAGAGAAGTGATAAAGTACTTCCTTTCAGTGAAAAGGTGAAAGTCTTTGACTTAAAGAAAAATTGTGTGCTGAGGTTGCTAAGATCTATGGTTAAGAACGAATTTTTTATCCATGGAGGTGTGCAGAAGGAAAAAGATTTGTGCTGGTTTTATTGTCGCCCTAAAGCTGTAAAAGCTATGGCCACGGCATATGGTAATTGTTCAGTTAAGATGGAAAAAGCATTAAATTTGTGGGCAGAAGATATGAACAGAAATGTGTTCTGATTGACGGCAATTGAGTTCAGTACTATCCATGGTTTCAGGTATCCCTGTGGAGGTCTTGGAGGGCATCTAATGCCAGAAAAAAAAAGTACAAACACGCTTTTAAAAATTCCCAATGATTGGAGCAAGTCACAGCGATACCGAAAGTGCTCCAAATGGCTGACACTCGAACAATTTGAGCAACAATATAAAGTATAAAATAAATATCCATAAGTCCATACTGTTAAATTATTGAAATAAAGAAATGGAAGAGAATAGACAAATCTGTGCAGAAAAATTCCAAATATAGATGCTCCCCACCTTACGATGGGGCTATATCCCAATAAATATAAGTTGAAAATATAAGTCAAAAATGCATTTAATGCACCCTACCTACCAAACGTAGCTTAGCCTAACCTACATTAAATGTCTTAAGAATTATTTAAGAATCCTAATTTTTATTTTAATCAAATTGTAGAAGATCAAGCAGGTACCAAGCTTTTCTGTCTTGAGATAATTTTGATATTTCTTCATTGCGTTAATATGGTGGTTACAGTGTTCTTTGAATGTTAAATCAATCTAGCCTTTCTGAAATAGAACCAACTTGGTCTTGATGTTTTTCTTATATTACTGCCTTTGGTTAATATTTTGTTTAGGATTTTTCATGTGTTCATGAGACTGGGTATCTGCAGTAAAGTTACTTTTTTTCATTCATGACATGTCTTTTTTTTTCATTCATGACATGTCTAGATGTCTTATTATGGGTTTATCAATTTTGTTAGTATTTTTTCTAATTTATTTTTTTCAGCATATTATGGGCATACAAATGTTAAGGTTACGTATATTGCCCTTGTCCCCCCTCCTCCCTTGAGTCAGAGCTTCAAGCGGGTCCATCCCCCAGTTGGTGCGCCTGGCACTCATTATGCATGCATACACCCGTCTCCTCCTACCCACCCCATCTGCCTGACGCCCGATAAATGTTATTCCTATATGTCCACTTAGGTGTTGATCAGTTAATACCAATTTGCTGGTGAGTACATGTGGTGCTTATTTTTCCATTCTTGGGATACTTCAATAGAATGGGTTTCAGCTCTATCCAGGAAAACACAAGAGGTACTCTATTGCCGTTGTTTCTTGTAGCTGAATAGTACTCCATGGTATACATATACCATATTTTATTAATCTACTCATGTATTGATGGGCACTTCGGTTGTTTCCACATCTTCACAGTTGTGAATTGTACTGCTATAAACATTTGAGTGCAGGTGTCTTTTTTATAGAGTGACTTTTGTTCTTTTGAATTTTGTTAGTATTTTTAAAGGCTTAACTTTTGGCATTGTTGATCCTATCAGGTTTGTTTTCTATTGTTTCTATTTATCATAGGTTTTGTTATTTAAGAATAATCCTTAACATTTCCTAAGCAGCTGATTATCTCCATCTTACAGAGGTGCAGACAGGCTCCTAGAGGCCTTAAACTGATGATAAAGGGAGAGATTTTTCTGGGAGGTAAGAAAGCTACTTGGGAAAAGGCTGTTTTGATTTACTATTTCAGCAAAAAGGTAGTCCTGCTGCCCTCAACCCAGTCATGTTGTTCTCTTGAGAATGAAGCAAATGGCCAAAAAGGAAGATATGTCTGAGACCTAAAGAGCAAGTTCTAGAATAAGAATTTAAAGTTTTCTTGCAGTTGGTAGCAAATTGTCTGCAATCTTGTGTTGAGGTTTCCAGGACCTACCCAGACTCAATTGCTGTGAATTTGCTGGCCCAGTCCTTGGCATTAGTTTGTTCTTATTTAGATATCCCAACTATAGAAACTAAACACAATTTGTCAGAGGGGTGGAATAAGATGGCCGAATGGAAACTTCCAGGGATCGTCCCTCCGAGGGAACACCTAATTCAACAACCGTCCATGCAAGCAAAGTGCCTTCAGAAGAACCAAAAATCAGGTGAGTGGCCATAGTTTTAATATATCAAGTAATGGAAACAAATTTGTCAATGAAAAATACTGGTTTATGTGTTAAAAAGATCCCTTCATTGTCTGTCTTATACAAGCAGGAATTGCTATTCTTGCTAAGAAGAAAATGGGCTGGGAGAAGCTACTTTGTTAACTTGGCAAAAAAGAATGACATATAGGTCAGAGTGAGGATAGTAGATCTCATCGAATATCAGAATGCAAAATAATACAAGTAAGATTTCTTTGTGAATTTTTTTGAGACAGTCTCGCTCTGTTGCCCTGGGTATAGTGCAGTGGCACATCGTAGCTCACTGCAGCCTCAAACTCCTGGGCTCAAGTGATCCTCCTCCCTCTGCTTCTTGAGTAGCTGGGACTATAAGCATAATCACTGTGCCTAATTATTTCTATTTTTAGTAGAGAACAGGGTCTGGCTCTTGCAGAGGCTGGTCTCAACCTCCAGCAATCCTCCCACCTCAGCCTCCCAGAGTGTTAGGATTATGGGCGTGAGCCACTGTGCCCAAAGTCAACTTTCAGTTTACATTGTTACTTGAATATTTTGATGAAAGATGTGCTAATTAATCTTTGCCTTGCTTGGTACAATCTTGTGCTAAAAGAAACCTGTCAGTAAATTCTAGGATTTTTTAAAGCTCAGAGTACAGTGTTACCTAATCTAAGAACCCCCTTGTAACAGTAATTTTAAAATCATGTCTACTTATCACCTAGGTTCGTTCACAATTAGATAATTTTGAGGCAGCTGGCTATAGCTCACAAACTACTGATCCAAATCAACCTCATTTTATAGATAGGGAAAGAAACCTCCTCACATCCATTCAACATGTTTAATGATGACACTCAAGGCTGGGTGTGGTGGCTCATGCCTGTAATCCTAGCACGCTGGGAGGCTGAGGCAGGCAGATCACTCAAGGTCAGGAATTTGAAACCAGCCTGGGCAAGAGTGAACCATCTCTACTAAAAATAGAAATTAATTGGCCAACTAAAAATATATAGACAACATTAGTTGGGCATGGTGGTGCATGCCTGTAGTCCCAGCTACTCAGGAGGCTGAGGCAGGAGAATCGCTTGAGCCCAGGAGTTAGAGGTTGCTGTGAGCTAGGCTGATGCCATGGCACTCTAGCCGAGGCAACAGAGTAAGACTCTGTCTCAAGATAGGAAAACATGTTTAATGCTAACATTTTACTCAAAAGTATAAGATAATGCTGAGACACCTTCTGGGACCAAAATGTCCTTTATTAGAATAATCACCCTGTTTGAGTTTTATTATTTTTACATCAGAACTGAAGTGTTTAAGATACAGATTAGTACATAAAACAATCTCATTACAGAAAATACATTTAATAAATTAAAGCAAAAAACAAAGACCTGAGAAAAAGCAAGACGAGCTGGAACCAGAGTCTGGAAATATCCAAGGAGCTACTCTTTTGAGTCATATTCTCCTCAGCTTCCAGTGACCACTTAATAAGCACAAGGTTTGATGTTTTAAAATATAAACAAATGTAAGCTTATTTTATACTGTATGAAGTGCTAATTTGAATATATTAAAATAGAATTTGAGAAAGATTAATAAAAATAATGATCATTCAATTGAAATTAATGTTAAGCAGTTTACAGCATTTTGGTGCTAGTGTTTTAAGTCTGCATGAGCAAAGTACTTGTGTAGCTAGTTTCTTAAACTTCATAGGAAACCTAGTATAATTCCAAGTGCTTACATGAAATATATTAGAAATAGTTATTCAAATGGTATCAAGATACTATGGTCCTCAAATAGGCCACCTCTAAAGAGTCTAATAACTAACTACAAATCATTATAGTAACTACATAAATGTATCAGAGTAAATAGTTCTATACATAAGCAATACTTAATACTGGACATCTATTTCCAAAGCTTCAACGATACGTGCAGCAGAAGGACGATCTTTAGGCTCTTCATTAGTACATACAGAGAACAGTTCAATTACTTTCTGGTACGATTCATCCAATTCTTCCATGTTAATAGGTGGCCTGGTTCCCAAAGCTGCATAGTATGCTTCATCATCAAAGTCACTTTCATCAAAAGTTTTATCTTGAAGGAGTCAGAGATTAAAATAATAAATCACTTTAAGTCATGGAAAAGCTTAATAGTTCACCCTTGTGAAATAAGAATTTAGTATCCAGTATGCTTTCCATTATATCATAGATAAGGAGTTTTTAAAATAAGAAAACCCAGAGAAAAAGTTCTCTCCCTATTCTCAATCTACATCTCATATGTATGAGGGTATGACGACGTTAAGCTTACATAGTACCAAATTAGTGATCAATATTAACCTATATCTTAATGGAAAGATATAAATTAGTGTAAAGAGATTGGGATTTATGTTTTTAAAAAGTACATTCATACCATCATCATCATCATCTGAAAGATTCATGTGTGGAATAGACAAAGTCATCATTTCCCATAGAGTAAGGCCAAAGGCAAATATGTCTGCCTTGTCAGTAATAATACCATTCTCCTCCAAAGCTTCCTTGGGTTTCCAAGGCTCTGTGCCAATGTAACAGGCCTCAGGGTCCGTCACTGAAACAAGCAAAATACAAATAAAATGGTCATGAGAATAGGCCCTAGAAATCACAAAAATGGGCAAGCAATTTGAACAGGTAGTACACGAGTTAACATCACCAGTAAATGTGAAAATACACGCAATAATGAGGATTAATTATTAATCATTAATAAGGATTACTTTCTACATATCAGATTGGTAAATATTCATGAAGCTGGTCAGCTAGCAAATATGTAGGGTAACAGCACTTCTCTTAGTAGTAGGATATCAAGATTTTAGACTCTGGCACCAACTTCCTTGCCTGGGTGAAAGACATGTGCAAGCTGTGTGACTGAGCAGATCATGTCACTTCTGGATCTCATTTTCTCCACTGTATGAATTACATCGTCATTATACTAAGATAAGTGCTATTCCTATGCTTTTATGACTACTAAGTCAAGGAAAGGGTCCACACACATTTCCATTTAAATTTGAGTCAATTTATCAATTTCAGTGAAAAAACCAGCTAGAATTCTGACTGGACTGAATCTCTAGATCAATTTGAGAAGAATTAACATTACATATTTTTTTTTGTTTTTGTTTTTTTTTTTTTTGAGACAGAGTCTTGCTTTGTTGCCCAGGCTAGAGTGAGTGCCGTGGCATCAGCCTAGCTCACAGCAACCTCAAACTCCTGGGCTCAAGCGATCCTACTGCCTCAGCCTCCCGAGTAGCTGGGACTACAGGCATGCGCCACCATGCCCGGCTAATTTTTTCTATATATATTAGTTGGCCAATTAATTTCTTTCTATTTATAGTAGAGACGAGGTCTCGCTCTTGCTCAGGCTGGTTTCGAACTCCTGACTTTGAGCAATCCACCCGTCTCGGCCTCCCAGAGAGCTAGGATTATAGGCGTGAGCCACCGCGCCCGGCCTAACATTACATATTATCTATAATTTTTTTCTACTCCCACCCCCCCAATCTACAGGGATTAAAGTATAAGCATAGAAAACAGTATTTTTTTCTAAAATGTCCAATCACTGCCTAAACTATCACATAACAAATTCTTCTCTATATTGGGAACTATTTCCAGACTCTTCATATTTTTCTGCCTCCTCTGGCATGAGTATCACAGCTTTAATTACTATAGCTGTTTTCAACATCTGGTCAAGATGGGAGACTTTTTATTATATACTTTTAAAAATAGTTTTTGATTTATGTATTTAAAAATACAAACACTATATAAAATACTACTTACCAGTCATATTTTCATCCAATGTTAGAGAAACTCCTACATCACAGATTTTAATTGTTTCAAAATCACCTTTAATTACAACATTTGAAGACTTTATGTCTCCATGAAGCAGTTTCTTTTCTTGGTGCAGATACTAAAATAGTAAAAATATGAATAAAAAATATAAGCCTATAGTTTAGATAGGGTGTTCAAGATGTTTTTATTTGAAGGTTATATTTGTCCAGCATTTCAAATTACCTGAAGCAGGAAAAAGGACCATTCTGTATTATAATATGTTGGTTTGCCATACCAGAAATCTACCAGATTTTTTTTAGAAGATGTTTAACTTTGTATTTTCAAACTCATCATACATATTTTTATATCATAAGGTACTACTGCAATTTTACTTGAAGCTATTCTATTTAAACAATGAGACAACAGATGACTTAGGGCCACATACAGTCATGTACAACATAATGATGTTTTGGTCAATGACAGAATATACAACAATGGTCTAAGATTATAATATTGTAATTTTACTGCACCTTTTCTTTGTTTAGATATACAAATATTTGTCACTGTTACAACTGCCTACAGTATTCAGTATAGTAACATGCTGTACAGGTTTGTAGCCTGGGAGTAATAGGCTATCTAGCTAAGGGGCACAGTAGGCTATGCCATCTAGGTTTGTGTAAATACACAGCAACCAAATTGCCAAATGGGCCAGGCACAGTGGCTCACGCCTATAATCCTAGCACTCTGGGAGGCCAAGGTAGGTGGATCGCTCAAGGTCAGGAGTTCGAAACCAGCCTGAGCAAGAGCAAGACCCCCGTCTCTCTAAAAATAGAAAGTAATTGACCAACTAAAAATACATATACAAAAAAAAATTAGCTGGGCATGGTGGCGCATGCCTGTAGTCCCAGCTACTCGGGAGGCTGAGGCAGGAGGATCGCTAGAGCCCAGGAAATTGAGGTTGCTGTGAGCTAGGCTGACGCCACAGCACTGACCTCGAGCCTGGGCAACAAAGTGAGACTCTGTTTCAAAAATAAAAAAAATTGCCAAATGATGTATTTCACTGTTAATTCACATGAAGAGGAAGCAGAAATGTAACCTAATACTATATTTTGTTTTATACATTAACCCCCCTCTTAACAAGTAATGATATTCACCCATGCTAAAAGATGTCCTGCAAAATGGCTATTTGTTCATTTTTCAGCATTTGAATATCTCCTCTGTGAGCTGGGCATGGAGAAGACAGACATTTCTTGGTATATAAATGCCCACCATAAGTGAATAGGCCTAAATACATTTACAATGTAATTTATTAATTCCATTATACATTTAAAATTTAGTTATTAAATAACTCAAATTAGTTTATCCTAGCTACTTAAAATATAATCTAAATAATACATTTAGAAACATTTGTTTTTTGTGAAACAAGGCCTTTTTTGCCCAGGGTGGTCTCAAACCCCTGGCCTCTGAAAGTGCTGGGATTATAGGCGTGAGCCACTATACTTATCTTTATTTGAACTCTTAAATCATCCAATAGTTTCCTGGAGCAGTCATTACTTCTGTTTTTTTAGCATATAGAATTTTTTAAATTTCTTACAGAAAGCATAATTTCTTTGCATAATATTGAGAGCGCTTTTTTCAGTAGACCTGTAGATATACTCATGATGTCCAAAACATACCCCACAACGTAATCTTTAAGAGCTTTGCTCGCATCAGAGGGTTAGGCTATACCCTTAGGAATAATTGCTAAATTTGTGTTAGATGTATTAATCCATTGAACTAAATCTAACACATGATCTCTACAGCAAAACTACCTGATGTAGATTATTTCATGCTTTATGTGAGGGCCCCAAACAATACTTTGCTTATTAAAATGAAGAAATAGTGCACTCTCGGTCCAAACAATTCAGTTGGGAGATCACTAAACTGAAAAAATGGTGCACTCTGTAATGTGACTCTATGCTGACTTAAGCAAATTCCCTCTTTTAGGAGAAAAGAAAAATCCCACCTTGTAACTAGGTATAGGTAAGTGTTTAATGTCTTCATATTCCACAAAAGTTATTTAAAATACAATGGCATAGTTACCTTTAACCCTCTTGCCATGTTCAAAGCAACTTTTAAAATTATGGCTGCTGGAAATGGATCTCGGCTATCTTTTCTTCTTTCTTCTATTAAGTCATTTAGGGACTTTTCACCTCCATATTCCATAGCAAGACATAGACTGCCATCACTGGCTTCAGTAAAAGCACGATAGCCTTAAAGAAAACAAGACATTTCTTTACTAGTACAGGGAAGAATAAAAGTATTTAAGTTTTTTATAGTAATGTGATTGAAAACATGGATCTGGACTAACAATGGCAAATATACAATGAAACAGCCATTATTTACAAAACTAATCCAGTAGGTCTAATTTAAAATGCCTTCAATGTTTGACAATAGTACCACAAATTAAAATATTTTACTATTCTATACTTCCTTAAATATAATAGTTTCACCAGCTATACTTGTATTAAAAATGCAAAATGGCTGGGCATGGTGGCTCACGCCTGTAATCCTAGCACTTTGGGAGGCCGAGGCGGGTGGATTGCTCAAGGTCAGGAGTTCGAAACCAGCCTGAGCGAGACCCCGTCTCTACCAAAAATAGAAATAAATTAATTGACCAACTAAAAATATATATACAAAAAATTAGCCGGGCATGGTGGCACATGCCTGTAGTCCCAGCTACTCGGGAGGCTGAGGCAGGAGGATCGCTGAGCCCCGGAGATTGAGGTTGCTGTGAGCCAGGCTGACGCCACGGCACTCACTCTAGCCTGGGCAACAAAGTGAGACACACTGTCTCAAAAAAAAATAAAAATAAAAATAAAAATGCAAAATGAAAACTAGGAAATTAAGGATCATTTTATATTCCTGAAATCTCTAAAGTACCAGCACCATAATGACTATATCTATTCCCATGAAGTTTAATATAGTACTTAAGTATCTAAAAATATTACATGTGAATTTTTAGAGTGATCAAATTAATTTGATTCCTGACAATCTTTAGCCTCATCCTCCTCATTTTTATTTGTGAAACCAGTAAAGAGTGTATAAACTGTTTCTAGATAAAAAGAATAATAATTAGACCAGATAATGCTACCAAATAAATTTAAACTTACCTACAATGTTTGGATGGTGAAGGCTTTTTAAAATCTTAGCTTCATCAGTTAATCTCTTTTGATACACACTTCGATAATGTTCATTACATATAGGATTAATCTTCTTCACAGCCCAAGGAGAATGAGACAAACCTCTTGGAGATCTAAAGGATAAAAGCCACAATACAATTGTGAAATGACTAAAAAAATTCCAAATTTTGAAAAGACTTGATAGTAATTTATTTTTAAAAATGTAAAATATTTTAGAATACATTTCCATTTCAATTGGGAGATAAGTATCTGATATACTGAGAAAGTCTCCTATCTATATACTAGAAGGGAAGGGATAAAAAGAACTGGAAGGATATGGATAAAATATTATAAATTTTAAACTTAGAACTGCTACACTATTTTCTATTATAACTTTTCCATTTGAGCATGTCAGACTACCAACTCTTCATCAAACATGTATATGTAGAGATGACTTATAGAATGCTAGAGTCTTGCTTTGTTGCCCAGGCTAGAATGAGTGCAGTGGCGTCAGCCTAGCTCACAGCAACCTCAAACTCCTAGGCTCAAGCGATACTCCTGCCTCAGCCTCCCGAGTAGCTGGGACTATAGGCAGGCACCACCATGCCCGGCTAATTTCTTTCTATTTATAGTAGAGACGGGGGTCTCACTCTTGCTCAGGCTGGTTTCGAACTCCTGACCTCAAGCAATCTGCCCACCTCGGCCTCCCAGAGTGCTAGGATTACAGGTGTGAGCCACGGTGCCCGGCCAATATACCAACCAAAACTCTGGAAAAGATATAAAAAGTTCTAGCGACAAGAATATGGCAGTCAGGTAGGATCAGGAACCTACCCCAAATCTAAATATTTGAATTTTTATATTCCTTTGTTTTGCCTCCAAGTACAGTGAACTACTACGATTCCACATAAAAAACGCTAATCTGAAATCTTACACTCACCTTTTCATTAGGTAAACATTTACCCCAGTACCAAAGCCAAGCTTCTGCATAAATGGAGAGGCAGGGATATTTATACATGGAGTTGAACATGATGCTTAATGTCAGAAAGAGAAATAAACAAAATTAATATTTGCAAAGATCTATACAAAAGCATCCTAACATTCTTAATATACTATTGCTAAGAGTATTAATTGACATAATCTTTTTGGAGAATAATCTGACAGTATCTGTCCTAATTTTAAATGGATACCCTTTGACCAAGTCTACTTTTGGAGCTCTAGTCTCCTACAGTAACACCACCGAAGCACAGGTTGGTAAATGGCCTGTTTTTGTATGGCCCACAAGCTAAAAGTTGTTTTTACATTTTTAAAGTGCTGTTGAAAAGTAAAGAAAGAAACAGAAGAATATGCAACCGAATCCCTATGTGGCCCACAAAGCCTAAACTATGTTTTATCTGGCCCTTTACAAAAAGTTTGCTGACCCTTGCACTACAGTATGTACCCAAAGAGACCACACACATACATGCATGCAAGCATATTCTTTTATACACTGGGATTTGCTTTTGTGGCTGCAAACAAAAAACCTAAGTGAGCATCATTGAGGCATAATTATGGTATGTAAATATTACAGAGTATTCAGTCATAAAAAAGATGAGACAGAGTTTTGCTTCTGTTCATGAACAACTATAAAATGTCTTAAGATTAATATTATAAAGGAGATTTATGCTAAAACTGTACATGAAGACATTTCTAACAGCGATAACAAAAGCAAATAAGAAAGGTCTTACATCTGCTATCTTACCAGATTTACTTTTTTCAGATAATTTACTTGGTGTCTTGAAATTACTGATTCCTTCCATTGTAACCACCACTCTAGGTCCTAAATTGAAAACACACTGAAAGTTACATTATAGTTATAAAGAATAGAACTCTCATTTCTTGAAGAAAAATATTCCTAGAACAGTATCACTCAATTTATCATATAAACATAAAATTCAAAAACTGAAAAAAAGACCAACAAATATTTAGTCCAATTTTATTTACAAGAAAACTGAAACCTAGAGATACAATTTCTTACCCATGTTCAATAATAGTGATTGGGTACTTTTGTTTTAATTATAAAGTAATATATGCAATTGTTAAAAATCACCTAGTACAACAAGGTAAACAGTTTGTCTCCCTCTCACGCTTCCCAGGAGTAGCTGTTAACAGGTCTCTTACATCCTTTTAAGAAAACTGTGTACGCAGGCCGGGCGTGGTGGCTCACGCCTGTAATTCTAGCACTCTGGGAGGCTGAGGCGGGCGGATACCTCGAGGTCAAGAGTTCAAAACCAGCCTGAGCAAGATCGAGACCCCGTCTCTACTATAAATAGAAATTAATTGGCCAACTAATATATATAGAAAAAAATTAGCCAGGCATGGTGGTGCATGCCTGTAGTCCCAGCTACTTGGGAGGCTGAGGCAGGAGGATCGCTTGAGTCCAAGAGTTTGAGGTTGCTGTGAGCTAGGCTGATGCCATGGCACTCACCCTAGCCTGGGTCACAAAGCAAGACTCTGTCTCAAAAAAAAAAAAAAAAAACTGTGTACACAGCAGCATTCATAATAGCCAAAAAGTAGAAACAACAAAACTCCCTCAGACAATGAATGGATTAACACAATGTGGTACACAGCCATACAGAATATTATTCAGTCATAAGGAGGAATAAAGTACTGATATATACAACATGAACAAAGCTCGAAAACATTATGCTAAGCAAAAGAAGCCAAACACATAAAGGCCACATATATGATGATCCCATTATAGGATATGCCCAGCATAGGCAAATCCACAGATGCAAAACTTCTTACATGTCTATAAAGCTCATTTGTCTATTAAAAAATTGGGAGGCAGAGAAAAGATTGTCATAAATTTTGGAGCCCGTAATAGCACCTTTAAAAACTGTACCAAGGGGGGAAAAATCACCCCAAAGGCCCAACTTTGTCTATTAATAAGTTTGTTCATTTTATTTAAAATGTAGCTACTGACCAGGTGTGGTTGCTCCCACCTATAATCCTAGCATTCTGGGAGGCTCAGGTGGGAGGATCACTTGAGGTCTGGAGTTCAAGACCAGCCTCAGCAAGAGCGAGACCCCCCCCCCTACTAAAAACAGAAAAAATAAGCCGGGCATGGTGGCGCATGCCTGTAGTCCCAGTACTCAGGAGGCTGAGGTAGGAGGATCACTTGAGCCCAGGAGTTGGAGGTTGCTGTGAGCTAGGCTGACGCCACTGCACTCCAGTGCCTGGGCAACAGGGCGATATTCTGTCTCAAAAAAATAAAAAGTAGTGACTGTCACTACAGTCTTCAGATTTGTCTGTATTGAGAATACTAAAGAGGCCTTTACATGTACTTGCCAAAAATATATTTTATCAAGTGACACATGTAACTTAAAGGCAGGAACAATATAGTATTTCTGAGACCGGTTTCAGAACTTTGGGAAGGATAAACTGTTTAGCAGAGTAGGTTGCAGGAGAAGGTACTTCTACTTTGAAAATAATTTCCCCACATGATTCTGATTCCCCCTTTTCCATGTGCATTCATCTTTCCCCACAAGATACTGTGATAGAGCACCTCAGAGATCTACAATTTCTACCTACCTATGTGAAACCACTCCTTAACTCATTCAGTCTACATGTACTTACTGAGCATGTACCATGTACAATAACAGCACACTGCTCTAGGCACTCGAAACACAGCAGCAAACAAGACCCAAACAATAGGATAAATATATAATATCTCAGGAGAAGGGAGGCAGGTGTTGGGAAGAGTTGAGGAGGTCAAGGAAGGTTTTCTTGAGAAATTGTCATCTGAAAGAAGAGAGCAGGCCCATGCAAATATCTAGAGGAAATCTTCCAGAATGAGGAAGTAGGAAATAGGAAGACCCTTAGGCAGACATGTTCAAGGAAAAGCCAGGACACAGCTTGGAAGAGAAGGAAATGAAGTCAGAGAGGCTGGGGGTGGGGCAAATCAAGCAGAACAAGTAGCCATAAGGACTGTGGCCTCCACTCAGAGAGCTGCAGTCACAGCAAGGAGTTCAGCTTTTCCTGAGAGACAGGAAGCTACTGGAGAGTTTTGGAAGGATACACTCCAAGTAATGTTTCAACAGGATAACCAGGACCACTCTGGTGGGGAATAAAGGCAGAGGCAATCAGACCAACAAGGTGGCTATTACAATAGTCTAAGAGAGATGATGCTGGCTTGGATCGGCATGGTAGTAGAGATGGTAAGAAATAGCTGGGTTCTGGACATATTTTGAACCTGCAGCCAACAGGATTTCCTGATAATGTAGACTGTAGTTAGGAAAGAAGAGTTAAGAATGGCTCCAAGTTTTTTTGATTAACAACTGGAAAAATAGGGGTGCCTCTAATTGACACCCGGAGCCCAATTTTGGATGCCTAATTAGACATCTAAGTGGAAATGCCAAATAGGCAGCTGGATATGGATCTGGAATCCAAGCTAAAGATATAAACTTGTGGGATATCAGCACACAGGTGGTATTAAAGCCAAGAAACTAGGTAAGACATCTAGGGAGTAGAAGCGTAGATAGGAAAGAAACAGCCCATCCCAAAACGAGAAATAAAGAACAAACAGCAATCTGAGGAGGGCCAGCAGAGTAGGACAGGGAAAACTCAGGCAAGTAGGGTATCTTGGGAATCTTAGGGCCTTATGAGTCTCACTGCCTTTTCCCCTCAGCATAAGGAAGATTTGATATTCAGAAGCAGCACTAGTGTTTTAAGGAAAAAAACAAACAAACCCTACTTTCTATTAAAAACAACTGGGTTTCAAGAGAAGATTTTTAACATTTTATATTATAGGACACTCTAGTGCTCAAGTCTATAGACATTAAATAATATACTAATTCTAAACCACAAGGTTCTTGCGCAGATAACGGCATAAAACTGAATATTTTAGATAAAATGACCATAATATGACTATGGGCACAGTGACACATACTCTATGGAACACCTAAGACACTTTTAACAATCAAGTACGGTTTAAGCAGCAGCATTAGAAAGCTCCCTGGGCTCCGCAAGCTAATCAATAAATCTACTGGATCCGAGGTCAATAACTTTTATACCCTAAGCCACCCTGGGGCTCAACAAGTATCTGGATGCTACTGGCAAAGCTACGATGCAGACGGGAAACAGAAAACGGTGAAACGAGAGAAAGAGAAAACGTAAAGATAATGAAAAACAGAAACACACAGTAGAAATTCGAATGTAAAAGGAATAGTCGGGATGGGATTATTTCTAATGTCTTCACCCCTCACACCCTCGTAGGGTGTCTGGGGCAGAGGGCAGGCCGTTTGTCCGCCGCTCGCGGTTAAAATCCTCCCTCCCGCTGGGCCTGTCCCCAAGGCCCCCGCCCGGCCCGCAAAACAGCCGCGCTTACCCGAGTCGCACCCGGGTAGGGAAAGGCCGAGGTGGCGAGAGGTCGAAGCCCAGACCCTCTTGAAAACCGGTCCCGAGCGGCCCCAGGAGGACCCCGCCGCCGCCCGCACAGCCAGGCAAGCGCTCGGAGGCGGCCGTTGGCGTTTTGCAGCCTCCCGGCTTTCAAAAGGCCGCGCGCCGCCCCCGCCCGCCGGCCTGGGCTACGGGGCGCCGCGAAGGACACAGCACGCCGAGTTCGCCGGTCCTCGCCCCGGCCGCCCGCCGCTCTCACCGGCTCCTCCCCGCGGCCGAATAGGCGCGCTTCAAACGCAGAGGGAACGGGATAGGAAAGAACCAACTGATCGTCACAGCCACCGTCAGCCCTTCAGAGAACACAACCTGGTTGAAAAGAATATATACGCCCGTTTTGAAGACTGAAGCTCTTCCTCAGACGCTTAGATCTGTGCCCAGAATGTGTAATGATTATTATGTAGATTTTATTACGGATTAATGTGGCCTTGAAACACCGTTACTACAAATGCGTTAGCTTATAACAACAATCGTGCTTGGCCGAGAAGAAAAGTAGATATTTAGAAATTTGGCTAACTCTTGTAATTACCACATTCAGTTCAACATTCATTTACTCAACGGTTATTTATAGAGCACCTACTATGTGCCAGGTGTGCATTGAATGCCGAAGGAGTAGGATATAGTTGTCACTACAAGAGACATACAGATGGCTAAGTCACAGAATCCTCCCTGCTCAGGAGCGGCCTGGAGTCTATGGGAGGTGAAGGCTGGGAAAGGGCCCTAAGAAACGCGTGCACACGCACACACACACACACAGAGAAAAGAGACTGCGGAACTTCTCCAAGAGAAGCACAATGCGCTAGACATTCACAAGATGGTGACCTTTTCAACTGGGGAGAATCAGCCTTCAATCTGGGCCTAGAAAGACGTGTGTGTGTGTGTGTGTGTGTGTGTGTGTGTGTGTGTGTGTGTGTGTGTGTGTGTGATTTCACTACACTCTTCTGGTGAGATCAATTTCATTGACGTTACTGCCTCTTTACTTCTGAGCTTCAGAAAGCTTCCAATCCCATTTAGGGGGCACATTTTATAAGCGTGTTGGCCGCTCTGTCTACAGGTCTGTATAAGAAATGGGGGCTCTTGCAAGTATCTCTCCATGTACAATCATGAAATACATTTTTTTTAAATGGGGAGAGAAGTTTGGGTTTATATCTACTTCCTGCCAAATCAACCAACAAGGAGTTTTGATCACTGTGTTCTGTGTTGTGTTAAACAGCTGTTGGAGATGTAGATGAGGAAGAAAGAGGCAGTGAGGAGACTGATCAGGAGGCTAACACAGTACCCCAGACAGGGCGAAGTGGCACGTTCCCTCTCCCTACCCACTTCAGAATAAAATCGAGGCCACCACAGACTCTTGCTCAACTTCCAGCCTTCAGAGTCAGATCTACCTGCATCCAAGAGCCTCCTTGGCCCATGTCCCTGCCTCAGGAGCAAAGGTCTTCTCTCCTACATAAGGAGATGGGTCAGCCCGCCATGCCATGGAGAACACCCTGTCTGTCCCTTGCTACATCCAACCCCCTCCTCTCCTAGGTCTTCACACTCACCCTCTCTAGGGGTCCGTTTTCTTCTAAAATCAAACAGTAATAGCAGCACTTATTGTGTGTCAGGCATTGTTTCATAGATTAATTCATTTAATCCTCCTTGAAACCCTATGATGTAGGTAACTATGGTCGCAAACCCCATTTTTCAAGTGGGGAAACAGACACAGAAAGGTTAAGTAATTTGTCACAGAGCTAATAATTGATAGAGCCAGGATTCGAACCCATATTGAGCTTAGATTTCCTAACAAATGTGTTCAAAAAATCTCTTCCATCTTATGCACACCTACACACACACACACACACACACACAGCTCTCCACCCCCAGCCTTCTAAACTCCTCTCTATTCTCATTCTAATTTTTTTTGTGGAGGCGTATTACAGACCTCTCCATCTTTTCTTTAAAGATCTATTAATATAATGCTCTGTACTTTTTTTTATGAAGTCCTACATTTTACAAACCCTGTATTTTGAGGGTTTGTAGATTTTAAGAAAATATCTATTCTTACTGCCTAATAAAATCCTGCCTAAAGCCAGAGCCTGAAAGCTTCATAACTAACCACTGCTTGTGCAAAGAAACTCCGGGGAGATGAGGTCATCGACACAGGTGTAAGAGGATGCCAAAAGCACGCACGAGAATGAAGGCCCTGGCTAAAGACTTACACTCTTAACCATCCCGTTCCCATCTTGTAATCATAAAAGCACCCCTAGAGATTACCCATAAGAACATCTGAACTTCCCAAGTTTGATGTTATCGCCTGTAAAATGCGACCATTAATCTTAAAATCTTACATACTAGTTAGTTGTCATGGGAAACAACTTGCAACCTGGATCAGTTATTTTGTTCAGTATCTCCATGGCCTGAATTCCTTGGCTTAGAGAAAGAAGCCAGAACTCTATTTGCCTCTCGGCTGATTGGGCCCAGAGGAACATCAGCACTGTCACCTCGTAATGGTTTTATAAACTCTAACTTCGGCTCCATTCAGGGCCTCACCTTTTGACTTTCAAGGGTCTAGTTTGAAAATTAAAAAAAAAAAAAAAATTAACATTTTTTTTCTTTTTTTGTTGTTCTTTTTCACTGCTTTGCATTCTAATTCTCTTTGAGACCATGTAGATTCTGCTGATTGGCTAGGAGAATGTTGGGAACATTTAGGAAAGAAAAATATTTTTATGTCAAGATTTTATTTCATTTGTGGATTCAACCCCACCAGGCTACCTAAGACATCAGGTCCTCAGGGAGACGCTGAGCCCCTCAGGGTGCTGCTCCCCTGGGTCTTCGTCTTGGTCGTAGTCTGTTTGTCCCCAGGACCTAAGCTGGGCTTCTCTGTCCTTCACCCGTTCAAGTTCTGACTCTCTCCTGTGACTCTAAATTCCCTTCCTTCCTCTTCATCGCATCTTCCTCCACCTTGGACTGTAAACCCTCACTTCTCTCTGCTTGACTCCAGCGACCTACTGTGTTTCCCCGAAAATAAGCCCTACCCATAAAACAAGCCCTAGCAGGATTTCTAAGCATTTGCGCAATAGAAGCCCTACCCTGAAAATAAGCCCTAGTGCTGGGCGTGGCTACGCAGCGCATCTGCACAACCCATGCGTGTCGTCTCAGAGCGGTAAAGAAGATGAGCAGCCCTTCTCATCTGCCCCATCGTGACAGCTACTACCCCAGAGGTGACCGGAAAGGTGGGGGCAGCCCCACTCACAAGGTCGGCTCCCCATCAGGTCCCGGCCATCCTGTGCGTGCTGCAAGCTGAGGCTTTGAGGGGAAAATTACACATCCCCTGAAAATAAGCCCTAGGGTGTCTTCTTGAGGAAAAATAAACATAAGACCCTGTCTTATTTTCGGGAAACATGGTAACTACCTGACTTGTCACCCTGCCTCAGGCAGCTCCTCCCCTCTGGTCATTTCCGCCTGCATTGCGGCCTGGTTAATCTCTGTAAAGGGATCAGTCACTCCCCTGCTTGAACTCCCTTTCAGGGCTCCTCATCAGCTTCAGGGTAAAATCCGCCCCCATGATGACTGATCTGGGAGTCTGGTCTCCAGGTCGTTTCCAGTCCAGAGCACTGGTATTTCCTCGCAGCCCCAGCACATACATGTGCACCCTTCTCTGCCACGAAAGCCCCTGGCCCCCCTCCTGGACGGGATCAGCTCAGCTTCAGGACTCAGCCCAGGCTCTGCCTGCTCCTGGACACCCTCCCGAATCCCCCCAGCCTGTTACTCCTGCTCCGAGCTCCCACGGTGCCTCCCGGTTCTCCCAGCTCAGCACAGAGCGCTGGAATGTTCTCTGTGCTTCCATCTTACCTGCTAGAGTGTCCCGGCTCTGTACCCCTCCCCCGCATGCCTGGGCGAGAGCTCAGAAATGTTGCCAGTGAATGAAAAGACGGACACGGACAAGCATGACTGCACATAGAATCCCACCTGCCCTCCAGCGACACAGAACACGCCAGTTGGTCTGGGAACAGTCACCGAGCTGGCAACTTAAAGAATCCGCGACAGTCCCTGAATCTGTGTTGCTGACTGCTGTGGGCTGAACCGTGTCTCCCCAGTCCCCCGGGCCCAAAGTTCCTATGTTGAATCCCTGTCCCCTGCTGTGACAGTATTTGGAGATAGGGACTTTGTGACGTACAGTTGTCCTTCCATATCCATGGGGGATCCGTGCTAGGACCCCCTGTGGGTGCCAAAGTCCATGGATGCTGGAGTCCCTTGTGTAAAATGAGGTCCCATTTGCATATAACCTGTGCACATCCTCCTGTACACTTTAAATCATCTCTAGATCACTTGTAATACCTAATCCAATGCAAATGCTACGCAAATAGTTTTCATACTGTATTGTTTAGGGAGTAACGACAAGAAACTAAAGTCTGTACGTGTTCAGTACCGATGCTATCGTGTTTTCCCGAAAATAAGACAGGGTCTTATATTTATTTTTCCTCAAGATGACACCCTGGGGCTTATTTTCAGGGGATGTGTTATTTTTAAGTACAGTACAACAATCTACATTTATTCAAATATAGTTAAGTCGTCGTCTTCTGGAATATCATCATCACTCTCCAAACCCAGAATTCCATCCTGAATTTCTTGTGACTCTGTTTCCTTTAGAACCATTGGCCCCAATCTCTCATGTGAAGCAACAGAGCTCTCACGGGGCAGATGAGGAGGGCTGCTCATCTTCTTTACCGCCCCGAGAGAAAATGCATGGGTTGTGCAGACGCGCTGTGTAGCCACGCCCAGCACTAGGGCTTATTTTCAGGGTAGGGCTTCTGTTGTGCAAATGCTTAGAAATCCTGCTAGGGCTTATTTTATGGGCAGGTCTTATTTCGGGGAAACACGATAACATCATAGTCCTAACTACATCTCCGATCCATAGTTGGTTGAAGCCAGAGGCAAAAGCTGTAGATATGGGGGCCGACTGCAGTTAGGTCTGGGTGAGGTCATGAGGCTGGGACTCTGGTCAGATGGGACTGGTGTCCTTGTAAGAAGAGACACTAGAGAGCTTGCCCTTCCTTGCCTGCTGTCTCTGCCATGGGAGGACACAGTGAGAAGGCAGCTGTCACAAGGCCAGGAAGAGGCCCTCCCCAGC